ACTGCATAGAAAAATTCGAAGCGGGACAACTCACCAATGCTGCAAGTGGATTCTGGAACCTTTTATGTAAAGAGAAGCATTCTTCAATTCTGCGAAACCGCTGTTCACATATGTTGATGTACGTAGTGTTCTGCAAATTGACAACTCGAGGTTTCATTTTTCAACACAAATTAGGATTTCATGTGAAGGACTTGGACAAAATTGAAGGTAGGAATATTTTTCAATCATGAAAAATAGTTAAAAAGAACTTTCAAACTTATTGTCTAAAACCACACGCTGCATCCTGCAAATATATTTGCACATTAGCAAATTCCTTATTCTAATATATTACGTAAATTCTAATCTTTTTGTACAATGAACAAGGGTCCAAAATTTGAATGTGACATGTCGGGTAAACTGACATCCGTATACACGTATTTAATCAAATTATTCATACCGAAAACGATACGATTTTGCAACTTGGTGGTTCAATAAGATATGGCGGGTCAACACTTCGTTATCACACAAAATCTCAAAATGAAAAAGGATTCCAATAGAGTCCACAGAAATTATTGAAAAAATAAATTACAGACTTTCATCCACAACAATAATATTTAACCACTGAACTCAAAATTCATCTGACACTCGAATTTTCTCACAGCTTTCACAAACAAGCAGAAACAACAAAATCGAGTATTCGTTGTCTCCGTTTTTGTTTTTGTTCAAATTCAGTGCCTATCTATCTTTCAATTTCTAAATGAGCATGATGCGCGAGATTTTCAATAATTTTTGGTCTATTCCGTGAATTCTAAAACACTGTATTTCATGAAAATTTTTCGATATTATCAGAAGGAACTGTGATTTTGGCGTGTAGAATTGGATAGGATTTACTTGTTATCCAAGGGGAGAGGAAAGTCGACAAGAAGTCCTAATCATATAGCGGACTATGTCGTCTCGTCCGGTTACCAGTTCATGTCCATTTGTTTGCTAGTTATTTGTTTCAGATACATTTACTGGTAAAGGGAGTCGTAACCGACCAGCTGTTACTTGAATCACCCTACGGCGTCTAGCAATCTCCTCGCACATACTTATCTCCCTCGGCACCCCGGTATGGGGAATGGTCACCCACAAACATCAGGATGTCGGCTGTCCGAAACACTCGCGCCGACTGTGAATCGGTTTTTCGCAATTCAGTTCGATATTATAACTTCAGTTTGTCCACCCCTATTTATTACCTCATTTCTCTTTGTAAGCAAAAAAATATGCTTTCTTAATTTTACAGAATCAATGCGAAAAGGAAGAAAACTGGTGATGAATTGAAGAAGCAACACGGGAACCAAAACATTTCTATCCAGCGTTGCAACATCATGTCACATAAAATCAAATTGGAAGCATCAAGCAAAAACAATGTCGGTCTAAATCAGGGGTTCCCAAACCAGGAGTCGCGACCCCAAATTGGGTCGGAGTGATAAGTAGGTAGGGTCGCAAACAGGTCATGGGGTCTGTGGGGTCGCTGAGGTATAGTAGAGGATGGATGTACAAAACATCTAAGATTTGACAAACCATGTTAGGTTTAGCAGTTTACCATGGCTTACTGTAAAACAGGTCCATAGGCAACGCTCTATGCTTATGCTATAAAAAATGTAGGTGCTTATTGTGACATCATTGTTTGGTTTTAGCTTATTTTACTTGATACCATCACAAGACCAAACTCAAAAGTTCAGTGAAAGAAGCTTGAGAAGTTATAAAAATATATATATTGACCTGGGATCACACTCAACACTTGAAAGTTGTCTTTGGGAAGCTTGGGAACCCCTGGTCTAAATAATGATACGTCGCAGCACAAAACTGCAATACAGCTATGACACTCTACTATTGAACTCGTATTTCATAGAATTTAATTAAGCCAAACGTCTAATGAAAAACATGAAATTCACCGTTCACATCAGTAGACAAATATAAATAAAATCACCTATTTTACAAACCTGAGCACGGTAAAGCGAAACATGCTATACGGCAGGGGTTTGCAATCTTTATTACAGTCGGACCAAATAATAGTATCTGGGTGAAGCCGCGGGCCGCACGTAGAAACTCTACAAACAAGAGGCTCTGGCTACGAAAAATCCAACCTCCAAAAATTCTTTTCGTAAAAATATTGCTTTGGCTAACGTAAGATTTTCCACATACGGAAGGCCAAAAACTTAAAAAACGCGTGTAGTGATATTCGTTCATGTCAGGGTAATGCAGTGCTTGAAAAAGGGAAGTCCAATTCAAATATCGTTTTTACGTGTTCATAAGAATAACAAATATGTTGCACATATCCTAGCAACGCCGTCTACGTTTTGATTTAAAACATTTTACAATTATTTTATTTTATCGTAATTAAAGCCAACCGCATGCGGCCATCTCATTGGCCCGTTTGGTTCCCGCGGGCATGTGCGATGTGTTGCTAACAAAATTAAGTGGGGGGACAATATCAGTTAAAATAGAAAATGAAGTGAAAAAAGATTGAAATTTTTGCATTTTATTTGTGTGTGCTGATTTCTGTTCATTACATTGTTTCTCAGCTGTCAACTTTTGCCGCCTCCTCCAAGTACAATTCGAATCTCACTCACGGTGATACTGGAAGTGTCATACCACAACAAGGCATTTAGCATTTAATTATGTCATCGACCATAGTTTAACAAGGCATATGTGAAAAATCAATCTTATTGTCTTCATCCGCGTCTCTGCACTGGTTGTACAACATTATTAAAAGTGTAAATACGTGTTTCATTTTCCATATCTGGTGAATTATTATACACTGTTATTTTTCACGAAGTATATTCTCCACGAACAGCATGTCATGGGGTGATGTCATGTTTACGTCAGCGATGGCAGCTAACATATATATCGGTCCTAAACCCACATGTGCCTTATTCTTTTGTATATCGTTTGGAATGTTGTTATCTTTGCCATCGCACTGTGATTGAGTCTCGAAATCGGAAATAAAATGTCATTACGGAAACGTTATGTTCACTATATCTGATTCAGGTCAAAAACACGCAGGAATAGATCTACGGCTTTGAGTCGAATTCGTAATTACTCGTCAGCTTAACAGTGTGTAAGGAAATAGGTTTCTTTCTTGCCACATTAATAGTCAAGTCAGGGATGAAATTTTCAGTGCGTCTGAGAACGTGGTAATAAAATGTAGGTAACACACAGGACAAAGTATCCCGCATTATATTTCAAGACACAGTGTACGTTTGATTGAGGCCTTGTTCGCCATCTTGTAGGCTCCGGTTTTGGCTGACTTGAGTAAAAACTGAACAGAGCTGTCGTTTGGTATCTGTAATTAAGGGGCCCCGAAGAGCGTTCCTCTCGATCATTTGAACAGATGTAACAGAAGATTCATATGCGTTTACAATAAGTCAATTCAGAATTTAATTCCCTGCGAGAGCCGCCCGGGTAGGCTACGCCACTAGCGCCGTATTATCATCACTCCTTCATTTTTAACGCTCGGGCTAGGCGTACTCAGAATAACAAAAAACAAACATATTTATATTTGTTTTAATAAATATTCCATGGCATAAGGCTTCAACAGTAAATCTGCTCAGTTACATCCCAAATAAAATCTACGTTTTTGTTCATCAAGTAGCGCGTTAATCGTAATATTCTGTTGGTGGCGTTTAAAGCAAAGGTTCCCAAACGGGAACCGGGAGCGGTCGGGAGGGGCCATAGGGTCGAAACTGATTTTACTTTTCGTTTTACATAAAATCTCCCCGTTCCCTCTAGTTCTATGGCTTGATAGTGTCATCTCGCAGGGTGTTTATCACTTGGTCAATCACGAATTATTTGTACACAATGGGATTTGGAATCTATTTATTCAAAATAACACTATAAATACCACTGGAATGATGAACAGGGGGCATGAGTGCTAATACCCTCTGGAAGAGGGACACGAGCCACGGTAGGTTGTGAACCACTGGTTTAAAGCATTGGAATTAATTAGGATTGTAGTGTCAGTGTTTCTTTACAGTGTAATTATTAGATAAACAATGTACTCTTGATTACCCTAGTTCAGTTGCACTGCATACTTTACTGTTTGTGTGTTATTCTATTGTTTACAGTGTTATGTTGTGGTAGTGGTGTTCTTATGTTTAATAAAGCCTAGAATCGGTATAAAGTTTTAAAACCTGAGAAACTAGACACAGATCCCGATACCTGTGACGCGGAATGTGGATGGCTTCATTGGCAAAAGACATTCGAAAATTTCTTAGAAGCTTTACCCACTGAAGGACTGGATAAATTGACAGTATTAATAAACTATGTGTGCCTAGAATTTATTTATAGATATGATGAAGCCATAGATACGTTGGAAGGGATCTTTGTACACTCAAAGAATGAAATATATGCACGTCATGTGTTGGCCACGCGATCCCAAAAAATTTCCGGTCGGTTGCTGAATGTTGAGCATTGACAGAATTGAAAAAAGATTGTAACTTCCAGAACGTATCTGCTAAAAAATACCAGAATGAATATATTCGGTAGTGGCTTGAATTCTAGTTGGATACGACTACTAGAGAACAAGAAATTGACACTGGACGAAATGGTTGATCAAGCCAAATCATTGGAAACTGCTGTTCGGAATTCACAATCTTATGCGGTAAACGAAAACACTTCCGTCGGAGCAGCACCCTCAACCATACAATCTAACAATTTCGATGTCGGATCGTTGCAAGATAATGCAGCTATGATTAGTAGAAGTAAATGCTTTTCCTGCGGTAATAATAACATCCACGATCGAAATGTCCAGCTCTGGAAGTAATCTGTTTCAAGTGTCAAAAGAAAGGACATTTTGCAAAGGTCTGTCGTGGAAGAACTAATTCGAACAATGACTCAACAGTCGCCTTGATATTTCAGCAATGATACACATTCAACATTGGCTACTATTCATGACAAACCATATACTCATGTTGGATACATTCCGTCTACATTACGACAAGTCACTGCTTTGGCAGGTATAGGTCGGCCAACGAAAAGTAAGAGCTTTGTTCGACAGTGGTAGTTCGGAAAATTATCTTCACCCAAGGCTAAATTGCTTAGTCCCAACGTTCGTCCGACAATGAATGCCATTGCCATGGCATCGTCTAAATGTTTAGTTAGAAAACTTTGGATGTAGTGAAATGGATTTATACTACAACAATCATAAATATTGCGGAGTTGAATTTGGTGTTATGGACAGCTAATGCGCTGATATGATCCTGGGACTCAATTTCCTGCATGAAAGTGTAAGATTTCACTAAGGTGGTAAAAAACCTGAGTTATTAATATGTGGTTTCTCGTCATTGAAAATAACCCCACCTGAACCATTTAAGCATGTAACTGCAAACTGCGGCATCACAGGTTATTGAAACCTTGGATTCACATCCCGTACCCACGGCCACAACAACCGAGGGTATGAAATGGCGAAGTAGAAACCAAAAAATTCGTTTTTTTCAAAAATAGTAGTATGTTAGATATCAATGGCCTCTTGTGTAGAGCATTGTTCAATTAAGGAAAGTTTCAAAAACAACTCACAAATTAAAAAGACAAATTATAATTACTTATCCTCATTTTCAGGCATGTTTGTAATCGGTTTAATCTTCACGATGAGATCTGGGAGTTAGTTCCTCGACATATTCGACGGATACTCAACTACATTTGGACTTGTTTCTGTCGCACTCTTCGAAACAATTGCAGTTGCTTAGGTCTTCAAATTCAAATTAGAGAAGTGGGTGCTTTATGCTTTGTTTTTATTTTTGTATTGAACTTTATTTAAAGCAAGACTTTAAGTAAGTCAGGGGTGCGCAACCGTTATTAATGCGAGGGGCAACACAAACTTTCTAGGTAATATTTCTGATATTCAACGAGTGTAAACATGTCATGCTGTTCTGACAAACAACCAGTCCACTTATTTTGTTTTTTTATTTTCCAGCTTCGAAAATGACACAAAGAGAATGATTCATTCAAAACCTGAATTGTATTGGAAAATATCATGAAAATATACCTGACCAATTATTATGGTCATTATCCTGATTGCAAGCTTCGTGGACATGTCCCTCAACCCTTCGAGTTACTACGCTTTGAACAAAGACACCGGCTTGAAAGACAAGTTAACTTATCCGGCATAGGCCGTGCTTATTATTGTATTATTGATACTAAGCTCGATGTTCTGTTTTCGTTATTCGCGGGTCTCGTATGTTTCGGAATTTTCGACCCGAAATGGATCGGATGCGAATTCTACGGGAGAAATAAAAGAGCTGAACAGAATGACAATGATGAAATCTGAGTTCAAAATATGCGACTCCGTTGAATTTGAATTCTACGAACAAAGTTTGATTTTTGATATTTATTATCCACTAGGTGACATATTTTTGTGAAGTGTCATCTCAATCGAAAATATGTTAAAACCGTTTTAGGATCCGATCTGAATGGCGCTGCTTAATTATTAGTTTTCATGACGCTAAATAATTGTATCTTTGGTATGATTACTGTATTATAGTCTGGAATCAGTGAAGCGTAAAATAGCGGCATCTGCTCTTCTCTACTCCAATAACATTATTTTGGCCATGCATTCACACATCATTGTTTTTTTGTGAGATAAAGTTTGATAATGAATGCTTATATCTTTATATTGAATTATGTGAAGTGTTATGAAGCATTTTCATCTTCCTCAATTAGTTCTGCTTAGTGATGGAAACATAGTATTATTTATTGAAATCCATTTTAGTTTTCAATAAAATAAAATCATGTGTGTTTTTGGTGTGCCAAAACCCTCCTTTATCTTTTTGTATGCCAGTTAAAGTTCTTTTGTTAGGTGTGCTTCCAACATGCTATGAGCAAACTTTAAAACTTTTTCTGATCTGTATTTATATCTACACTTTAGATCTGAAACAATTAACCGATTACTAAATACTCTCTTCCCTCCCCCTTACTAGTAATTAGACGAGGAACACCGCCCCTCCTCCATTAGCCTCTTTGAATCCTCCCACTTCTATGACAGCTCCCCATCAGTTCAATGGGGGAGTCTCACCTTTGCCCCACAAAATAAAAATCGCGCTTCGAAATAACCCTGATTTTCTTGAGAGATCCTGCCACATTCATTCAGCTCCATATTAGTAAATATTATATCAGGGTTAAGGCTGAGCATTTTCGATATCTGTTCTGTTGATTTCAAAATCGAATGTTTTTTCAAATCGAATCGTGCCGTCAATGGGAGATATGTAATTGTATGCGTCTTTTTTACTGTGATGAATGAATGTCAACAAATGAATTACTGAAAATATAGAATACATCAATAAGACAGATTGTTGAGTGTTAACACACAATGAAAAACACTTATTTATCAATAACTTATTACGGAAAATGGTCAAATGTCAGAATTGCATTAAAAAAATTATGGCTTCAATTAAAAAAAAAATGGGGAATTCGCCTCGACGATTGGCATGAGAAATAAACAAGAGGGCGGCGATTCGAAATTTTGGTTTTAACCGATTCAAAATTGATTTTTAATTGAGCCGCAGATTGTGGGTTTACAATCTATGACAAAATTCTGTCAAATCCACACCGCTTTCAACAGATTCACCACCTCTGATTTATATACTGTGCTTCGGTACCCTGAGAATTTATTTTTCCATCTTCTATTGTAAATTATTTTTCTTATACACAATGTTTTGCCCAGTTTGAATTTGTTAATTTTTCTTCTGTGTCTGTTTTCTATAGAAGCTTTTTCTTATTTCACATTGAAATTTGAATGTATTGTTTTCGTCTTGTTGTGATTATTTTAAATGATTTTTTTCTGTGATTGGCACAAGATATTCATGCTAAAAGTCGTTAATATTTGAATCTGTTCCGAATCATTCAAGACTTAATAATCTAGAATTCTTTGTAATCAGAAAATTGTACCTTGGCCTTCAGGTTTGAATAAAAATGCTAAATTTATCTTGATTACACAAAATTTTACTCCATAGTACAAAATTTTTTAGGTACTTTTCAAGCGCGACTTCGACTAAAGGATTTCGATTTTTTAGGGAATATAAGATTGCGAAAATATCCAAAACGCCTCTATATTTATCGGGTACTATTACTTTGGACTCCCCAAATAAAAGCTTTCAATTTTAATATTTAAAATTACAAATTTAGGTTTATACTTCAAAACCTACTCTGAGAATTCATTATAACAATCTAGAATCCTTCACAATAACTACTAATTCAGTCAAAAGTCCTAAATTTATCTCAGTCAAGTATTATAGGTCTTTTATTATCAAGTTTTGAAGTCACTCTTCTAATGAAAATTCTCACCCAAACAGGTATCAATATATACAAGTCTTTTTGTAAAACTTATGAACCGCTTCCTCCAATATACACAATTTCTTATTCCAACTAAGGTTATTTGTTTTATTGTTCTTTTTTGTTTCACATTGAAATGTAGTGTCTGTTTTACTTTTATATATTTGTCCTCTGAATCAGTTTTGTCACAATCCTCAATCTAAAGCAGTGATTCTCAAATTTTTTAGCCATTTCCTATGTGGTCCTATTGAAAAGCCCTATGCAGGAGTAACGACTTGCCAAGCGCCAAGCATAAGTCAGACTTGACAAAAAATCGAAGCCCTGTCAGATCTGCTCATTCAGAAACTTCTTTGGGGCATAGTTCATACCAAGCTAGAGGATCCATGCCCAAATTAGGTTTTTATTTTGTTTATGTATGTACTTGACCAAAGCATTACCCAGAAAACCTGTTTAGCAATAAGATAAATGGCCATATTTGGAGCAAAAGCTTAGCTCAACAAAAAACATTATTACCTCTAAATTCTGATTTTTCATTTCTTGATATTGACTTGATCACAGCTTTGGTTCGAGCCTAACAAGAGATCCATGCCAAACCTGTGTTATTTTATGCTATGCTATCTGCTTTTCGACTCTCCCACCCCTTTTGAAATGTAAAAATAATTATCATGCACAATTTTTCGTAGCTTGATGAAACGCTTTTTCAACCCTTAAGACTCCTGGAGACCTATGTTTTCTGGACTTCGATCGACCATGTTTCGGTCTAACTTAGCAAAAAGAAATTTCACAACCTTCCCTTTAAAAATTCAAATTTTCACCCCTGGTTCTATATATGCCTAGTATCTGCTTGCCCAAATCCCTGTTCAGAGAGCGGGTACGAAACACCTTAAAGTGGCAATAAGTTCCCGCCCGATTATGGCCTATCAAGTGAAACCAATTTTGTTTGAAGCGATGTTATGTTAATACCTAAAAATACATAATACCTCAACTTTACACAATAGTTTCTTAAAAAGTGTAAAAACATATTTATTTATAGAGGAAAATTGATTGATTGCTATTTTGTGTGCCTTGTATTTTATTAGATTTGAAAAATGAACTTTGAAATGCTTGTTTGTAAAGGAATCTGTAAATAAATTGGAAAAAGGCGATTTTTAAGTGTTCTTGCTGAACCCGGTTCGAAATTAGATTATGGGAAAGGAAAGCAGTCAGGACGACTTATCATGTTGAAAAATGATTTAGAGCACAGGTCGGCAACCTTTTGTCGCTCACGGGCCAAAATTAAAGATTGCAAGTCATTGGCGGGCCGCACATAATTTTAGAGAGTTAAAAACCGAACGGATTATACTTTTTATAATAAAAATCAAGCAGTGATACATCTTTTCAATAGAACATGGATTTATTTCCCCATTGCATTACGTCTCAAAAAAAATCCATTGGAATGTTTCCGGCGACGTTGAACCCATTGCACTTAGCATCAACATTTCTGCGTTTTGTTGCCATTTGTCTACTATAATTAAATTATAGGCTCATTAAACGAGTAATTGTGAATTATATGCTTGTTAGGTTATAATATAATATAGTCTACACGTGTTTCACAATAAATTCTGTTACGTAAAGAATATAATCGTTAAAACAGCTTTTTAGTTACTATAATTAAGAGAAGCGTCGCGGGCCGGATTATATTACTGCGCGGGCCGGACCGGCCCGCGGGCTGTAGGTTGCTGACCCCTGATTTAGAGCCATAATTAGACCAGAACAGGAATAACTTGGAATTACGTTGCCAAGTTAGGATTCCTCATATATTTATCAATATCTAACTAACAGCCAATCATACCGCGTGTTTCAGGTCACGTGATAGGCGCAAAACCTCATCTGCCATGTTCCAGCCATGCGCAGACGGACGTCTTAACAGGAAGTTGAACTTCCTTGCCGGAAGTTCCTAATTGCCATGCGCACGAAAATACTCAACTCCCATTGGCTGATTCAAAATTTCTCAATCTGCGCAGTAGATTACCGGTCATCTACTTGCCATGCGCGAGATTCTTCGAAAAATGACGGTTGCCAGATTTCAGAATTTCATTTTTGAACGGTATGATTCAGAATCGGACAGTTCAAAAACGAAATTCTGGAATCTGGCAACAGTCAAAAAGAGTGAAATTTTGCGCATGGCAAGTACATGTCCGTTTTGGTATTGCGCAGGTCACGTGACTTTCAGAATTTTCTGATTGATCGATTTTCGTCCAATTGAAATATTCCTTTATTGTATCAGAGTTTAAGGACCCCGCCCTTGTTACTATAAAGATAACGAGAGAACTGCCAGCGTTTGGAAGAATCCTCAGCTAGGTTGCATGAACTACACTTTCCCCTGAGATTCAAACACTTCAATTACTGACTACTAGTAGGCCATTTAATTTACTCTAACATACTTTTGGTGAACTTGGGCTGCCAAAGAACTCTGCTGGGCCCTTTGCATGACAGTTGTGAACACAATTTTAATTTTGATTGAGTTTTCACCACTGAGTTCAAATCTGCTATCCAGGACTGCGGTAATCAATCTGTTCAAGCACTAGACGGCACTGTGGTGCTGTAGGGATGGAGATAAGCTTCGATTCCTATTCAACCACCTCAACCGGGGTGTAATAAGCAGCGTAGGCCCTAAAGATTCAATATGGTGTATCTAAAATGGAAGCTTTATACCATGAATCAACTTCTTCTTGTACCAAGCTGTTCTCAGAGTGTCACCTTAAACTTAAAGAAACGTTCCCTCTTAATAACTCATGCACATTTCTTAAAAATGTGCCATAATGAGCCCCTGGGCTTTATGAGAGAAACCTAGAGGCTTCGCAAACTTTTCATTTACATATTATAATACTGAATATTTTTTAAATACAAAGCATCAAATACATCGGAGTCATTAGATAGAAGTAATTTCAGTTTACTCAGGGTCATTAATGTCATGTCATTAATGTCAGGTAAATAAAGTCATTTTATTTTGTAAATTTATTGAGGGGCACCGTAAATAATATTCAAATTTTTCACAGTCTCTGTAACACCAAAAGTTTGAGAACACAATGGAATAAAGTACGCAAAGCAGTTATATTTTGCATATGATGAATTTGTTGCAATAAATCTTTACATTAAAAATGAATCATAATGAAATACTGTTACAGAATTTCATTTTAAAAATGAAAATAGCACGATATCTAAAAATGAATATTATATAATAGTAATCCTATAATAATTGATACAGAGTGGGGTTAAAAGGGGGGCTGTAAATGGGGGCAATTTACAATCGGCTATTGACTTCTGATTAAAAAAATATAGATTCCCAACCGACTCTGCGCTGCAAAAAATTTTGACTCAGATTTTGACAAAAAACAAATTTTGGGTACTCCTGAAGTATGCGCACCAAAAATTTGCACAACCTGAACCCTCACCTGGTTCACAACCTGAGTTCAGTTTGTGCGCCATCTTGGTGCGCATACTTCAGTAGGTCCAAATTTTGAAACGCTTCTTTTAGATTCCTTCCTAACAGTATAAACTTGAGGTTCATCAAGTCGCAAAGAAGGAAAAAACCTCTATATCAGTGGTTCTCAAACGACGAGGCGCAAATTTGTTAGATTTGATCTTGCCCGCCTTTTCAGGAGATTTACGATGTGTTTTTTGAATAAAACATAATTTCGCTTTATCATCTGGTATATGTAGTTTATTGTTAGCTAATTCTTTTTGAGGTGGAGCGCGAGACTTGAAAATTATAAAAAGCGGCGCGATGCCTAAAAAGTTTGAGAAACACTGATCTGCATAATCGAGGAAGTCTAGTTTGCCATTGACAGCTCAAATCTATCCTACCAGCTTTGAGCAAAATAACATAAATAAGAACCGTTCATAGGCAAAAACTTCAATTGCACAAATTATTATCTTTCGTAAAACAACCTCAGGAAATGTGAGCATTGGATTCATACGAAATTGAGATAATGATCTCCTAAAACTGGTTAGTTGTTACAACTATAGTATCAGTGATAGTCTGAGTAGGTTGATAAAATAGGAAATTGGTTTAGGGGTTCTTAAGTTTTTATTTTCTTGTAGCAAATTTGAAAAATTTTCGCCGCAAATTTGGAAATTTACCCCCAATGCAGGTCAAATCTACCCCACTTGGGTTTGGCCAAGCTGAAACAGGAAGATTCGAGTCTCTCTAAAAAAACGTCAGTGCTTATCAGTGGTTAAATAACTCGCTTAGTAAAGGGCTGCTGACGCAAAAATTAAGTGATATGGGAGCCACACATAAAACAAGATAGATAGATAGGTATCCATAAAGTCTTAAATTTACTTAAAATTCATAGATACCAAATATTGGATTGGCCCTCACAGATGTATTAAATGAAGTGAAATTACTTGAACATTTATTGAATAAAAAACAATATACCTGGTTAAGATATATTGGGAACTGACTTCATAACCATATTGGAATTGTAAAGGGAATTTATGGACACATGACAACAAAAAATCCATTAAATAGTCTTAAGATTTATAGCGGCTTAGCTACGTATTAGAGAAGTATCATAAACTCACTTACAGCAAAGGCACGGTTCAATATAAAACGATAATTCAGCATTAATATACCAGTAATGAATACATATTAAATGAATCTGAGTAAAAATTTATAAATTATGATTAAAAACGATAAAAATAGTTTAAAATCTTAAGTTTTAGCATAGACTTGACTTTATTTATCCCATAAAAACAACAGATGGTTAAATTAAACCTATCAGGCATTCCGAGATGAGACACATTTGCGTACTGCGATGTTTTTCAGCCACTCAGAGACAGTTTCTGGCGTGACGAATTCCCACAAATCAGAGTTCGAGTTGCCATTTGCAGTTTCCATGGTTACCAACCCCGTTGCAAAAACGTAGAAATTATCTGCAAAAACCACAGATCCAGATAAACTAGAAAAAGATTCCGAGTGAGAACAGAATTATATCGTTTCATGATACGAAGCATGCTTTCGAATGACGACAAAGTATCATGGCAGAAAAGAAATCTTTTTTACCAGTTTTGTCAGTGACTATTTTGACGAAAGCAGAGCAATGCCCAGACCCGAATGCTCTGCGTTTTAACGGCTCCTCAACTTCCAGATCTTCTAAATCCCCTCCAAGTTGGAAAAGATAGAAACCAAAAGGTCTGAGACGAATCGTAGGGTTGTAAACCGCAAGATTAATATATCCATCTTCCAATCCTTGAACATGCAGAAGGCCTTTGTTAACTTCATCCCAAAACTTATCATCCGGATTCTTCTTGATCCTTTCTGACATCCACTGGATATTATCCTGCACGAGATCATAGATTTTAAAAGAATTGTTCCATGTTTGCTCGATTCACTTCGGATGTTATAGGCTATATCCTGCTTCATAGGCTTACAAATGTGGGTCGACGTCTGAAAAATTGTAAAAATGAATGTTATTAATAAAAGAATTGGTATATAATGAAAATATCAGCGTTTTTGAACTTTTTAGTGGAGTGGACCTTAATGAAACATTTCAGAGGCTAGCTACTAGAGGCCCCCTGTGTGTGATATTCATAAGGCATGAGAGTTTTATAAACTAACAGAATGATCTTTGAAGTGTGGCAAGTTAAACTATAGAGGTAAACCTAAAAGAGAATTTTATTCTGTTTGAACAATATACATATATTATTAATATGGACTTTCGGATTTGAAACCTAGGGCACCATGGAACCCCTGAATTGTACTGGCTCGAAGGTTCCTAGGCTTGAGAGTTGTTATACTCTAAATATAGAAAAAGCAAAATGATCTTTGAGTGTAGATAGTTAAATTATAAAGATACATCTGAAATGAAATTTGATTCTAATTGAACAATATATATATATATATATATTATAGATCTTGCAATTTGGATGAAAAATTGCGAAACCCTGTACTGGGTCTGTACTGGGAATTTTAACCATATGGCATATTTATATCAAGACGATGGAGAAAGATTACAATCGACTACGTCCTCAACCAAGAGCTAATAAAAAAATTTGGCTTCGATACCAGATACTCAAGTGAAAACACATTTAACTCTTGAACCTACAACCTGGATAAATATTCCACTGAAATAGAGAAGGAAATTCTAACCACAGTCGTCTGAAACATATTGAATACTTGTATTCAATTTATCACAGTGGTTTTTAACCTTTTTGTGGAACTATTTTAAAAGCCATTGCTTGAAGACTTCCGATTTTGAAAATCTTTGCCGTGTCCCTGATGACATCGTTATACATCATTTGTGAATTATTTTATGTAGTCTAATGAAGTGGTTCAATCGCCCCCCCCCCCAACATTATAATATGCGGAATAATTTAAAAAGCCCTAACTTGATGTTCCATCACTAATTAATTAATAACTCGCTAATTATACGACATAATTCATCCAAAATCAATGGGCTTCTGATTCGAGATATGATGAATGCATATGCAAAATTTGGAGCGGATTCATCCTCGCTTTCGTGAGATATCGCGTGTATCTAACAGACAGGAGTGTGTGCACCAAGATGACGCACAACCTTAACACAGTATGTGTGTACCGGTTAGGATTTAGGTTATGCGACATCTTGGTGCGCATACTTCTGGAGCACCCGATGGTCAGATGTAACTTATGGTTTCTGCATTTCTCCCATTCTACTAAGTCCAATTCCTATCAGTTTACGATGATTTCTGCAAATTTCTTGCTTGAACGTGAGCCAATTTTAAATTTATCTGATATTTTCCATCCGAAATTATTAATTTCCAATTAGTTTACTAGATTAGCGGTTCCTAACCTTTCTACCCTGGCGGACGGGTAAATTTAAATAAAATGTACCCATGGACCGGCAAAAAATTGAAATGAGTGGAAATAATAATAAAATAATACCATACTTCGTATATTTGCGTAATAAAACTTAGTGCTGGGCACCACATTTGCATAATAAAGACACACAGAAACATCGTACACAAAAAAACATACCAAACGGCGCTCCGGAAGTATTCATACCAAGATGACGCACAACCTGAACCCTAATCTGGTACACATACTATGTTCAGGTTGTGCGCCATCTTGGTATACGTACTTCGAGAGCACTAACCAAACCATATACAAACACATTTAACTCTTGTGAGAATTTTGCTGGTGTTTTGTATCCAAAACAAAATTGCAAACGAGGTATCAAGATTTAATTCTCTGTTTCAAAACAACAACCTATCATGCCAATACAGCAATACGCATTGGTCCCACCACTTGCAATTATCCAGCTAAATTTTTATTTGTTGAAAAGAGCAACTCACTTACCCTATCGACCAAGGTGATTTCTCGAGTAGCACGACGGAGCAATTGAGCAGGAAGGTGCAGGTCACTTTCAGACCTCCTAGATAGGTGCTCCAACGTTGTGGACCGATAGCATCAATTTGAAATTCCCGCAAACCACTGAAGCATGCAATAGTTCCTTTTCGTAGGACGCTAGACCGGTTCCAGTGAATATGTAATCAGGCATAATAATATCATTTAAATAATCATTGGTGACTAATCAGAGTGGGAATACTATAGGATCCGGTTTTTGATTCTTCATTATAGGTAACCAACGGCTTTCATCTTGTTTCTTTTTGCTACTGCCACTTTTCTTCTCTTTTCAAAAATCAAAATATTCTTCATCTATATTTATAATTTTTTTCTCATAATCCAATTCCCAAACATTTCGATTATTAATTAGGGCATAAATTTAATCCAACTACGTCTAGACTAGTCTAAAATGATAAACCGAATTGGCGTGCGTCGCGGTAATATAATAATATAATTATATACATAAACAGTCTTCTGAAATTTTTCCATTATCATTTTGTCAAGAGCCGACTCTAAACCGTAAGAGTTATCCGTAAGGCTCAATACAACAGGTTTGGGAATTTTAAAATCTCTTGGGAATGTCCCTGTCCAGGTTCTTTGGGAAATCGACCTCTTTTTGGAGATTGTAAACTCCACGTATGGGATTATTATTTATGTTTGCCTAAAGCAAGGTCCATGGTCTTCAACTTTTGGTAGGAATAGTGTCGATAAACGCCTCATCTCATCCCTGATGCGCTAAAGAAAGTGATACGATTCAAAATGGTAAAACTGGTTCTTCTTTCCGTTGAACCCTCCAACAACAGGTCCCTGCATGAAAACCTCCAGAATCTTATAGCTTGCCAAAGCAACCAAAAGAGCTTGCATAAATTTCTGGTTAACGATCATTTATTTAACAAAATTACTACAGACAACTCGACATTAAAAAAATTTAACACGAGTTACGTAAGACACGAGACACGAGCGACGTAAAGAGATTGGGCCAAATGCGTGTGCAGTGTGCACACCCCTGCTTTACGGCATCCGTGTTTTCAACTGATAAGACAGATGCTTGCAATGCACGGCCAAATGAGAACGAGAGAGCCCATGGTTTGATACCAGGTACATTGATGATAGCATTAAGATTAGAGGTAGCTTCTTCCTCTGATTGACCACCAGAGAAGAAAGTGACACCTGGATAAGAATAAAAAAAATATTTAACAAAAGCACTTAGTCATACATTCACACTACACAAGTGTTTCTAGGGTGGAAGCCAGAAGACCAAACGTGAGAAGAGAAATTCCGGCTGATTCTCCAAAAATGCCAAATGCTTGAAAAATAATGCATTTTGCAAATGGCCTCATTTTTTTACTTTAGCAATTTCAAGTCCCCCTCCCCTCACCAAATAGCTTGATAGATATCAAACCAAATCTCAGAAATGCAATATGAAATAGACAGTAAGCACTAAGCCATCACGAATACTACAAGTGCAGACGATAAAATAGACTTTATGTTATTAATGATCATCAAATCAGAATATCATAAATTTTTTATAATGCCTATATAATTTAAAGCAAAATTTTGATGTTTGAATCAGTTTCACAATAGAACCCATTTTACCCACAAAAAAAGTGTTATTATTATATACATAACCCTAAACGTAATATAATAAAATATTCTCAACATAAGCTGTTGGCTAGGTCATTAACACATAAAAGCCATACCTCATAAGCATCAAAAGTAAAAATTAAGGAAGCATACCCAGTCAGAATATTTAAATACTATTTATCCCATAGCAATTCCGACTCCAGCTTTGCACAATTTATGAAGAACATATAAATAAACACAACTAATTCAAAGTATAACTTTTGGTAACTACAAGATAAAATACAGAGCACAGAAGCCTAACTAGAAATGCCTATCTGGCATGATGCATGGTACGGTTCTTCTAAGAGCAGTGACAGTAGCTTCAGCGACTTGCTGTGACGTTAATCTCTGATCAAGTTTCTAGCAAAAATTGTTAAAACAATAATTGTTCAATCGATGAGATGGTGAGGTAAGATATATCAAACGAGTTGTTCTTGACTTGTATAGATTTTAAAGATGAATCTGAGAGCCCCATATCTGTCTTTGATAAATGAAATTAGAATGACAAAACCAAAAAAGAATATTATTTATACCTGCGAGACTTCACAAATAAATATACGCCTATTCTAAATATAATGCGTTTAAACATATGGTTTTTAAATAGAGCGAATGGGAATTAAATATGGCTTTGCTTAGATATTTTCTCTGGCGCCTCTACCAACTGGATTGGGTAGAACACGACGATAATAACACGCTATTATTATAGTTTTCATTCTACCAATGATTTTTTTTGATCGGAATTTCCATGCAATTCTTATATAACTTGCAACCACTATCAGTCAAAAGCGACGAAATAGTAGCCCTCGTTTTCGCATCGCTCTTAAGCCACTTTTGGTGAAGAATAAGCAAGAACAGCCGAAGAAGAATTATCGCCCCCTTAAAATTTACAAATTTTTGATTTGAATCGAAGCTGAGTGAAATGAGAATGAAACATGAATAAACGACATTCAGCGTTGTTTAAGTATAATTCATGGTCATTCGTATGTATCACATGAAGATGTCATATGCCTTTAATACAGCAAAGGATATTTATAATTTTGTCGAAAGAAATACACCTTGCATTCAGATTATCACATATACATCATTCTCGTAGCTTTAGAATTGAGGTATTAGGTGAATACGACCGTGCATTGCTTCTTATTACCCGAGACTTTTTCAGTCACACATCAAACGTGGAGCATGATTGCTGTTAACAAACTACTGATATTTTTTTTATATGCTCAATTGAATTCCAACATTTTCAATGAAGTAACATCGGGAATTTTCAAACATCTGCAGACTGAAATAGCAATGGTGGAAACTTATTGACTCATATCACCTTTTTCGATCTTGTGACGTCAAGATGAAACTGACATAGCAAGTTTTAGTACATTGTTTAGTATACTATTGATCAAAATCCAGATGACCAAATTTCCATTGCCATGCAAATTTTGTTAGGTGATGGCATACCTATATATATGACTCCATATAGAACTTTTAAACGATATGTTATTTTTATGCTGCTTTGTTGGAGTGTTGGAATATGATGCATTGCTATAGGTATTGCTGACCTCTCTGAGCGAGAAAATCAATTCGTGGAGTTTTAACATTTGTCAGCAATTTCAGTTTTTGGGTTTTGCTAACTTTCCAAAAAAATCCAATACTTACTCAATAGGAGATGTATGCTTATTTGGCTTCAATATAAATATAATTTGTTTAAAAAAAATCTGAAATATGCCAAGAAATGGGGAAAAAAACACTTTATTTAATTCACATAAAAATTGTTGACATTTTCACCATACTGTTATAAATTGAATGATTCGTTGTTCTGTGAGATGTTAAAATATTAGAGTGTTGCAGGTTTCTGAGCTGAATTACTGATCGATAATCAATCTCGCTCATTCTTTGCAGCGATAGATTTTTACCGAGAATTGTTTTTCCATAAACCTCTCATGAACCCCTTCATTTAAAGTAGATTTAAAATAGGCAAGTACACCTCATTTCCCGTAATACTATATTTTGCATAGAAATTTAGTGTTTGATGTATTGGCATCCCATGATTCAACAAACTATGATGTAGCAATTCCTGGAATGATAGCAATTTCCTGGTATTTTAGTGACGAAATCACGATGACTGCTTCTGTTTTTGTGAATGGATTTAAACGTAATCATCAAAATTTATATACTACAAACTTGCCAAATCGAGCAATACCCACATATACAATATATTGCCGAAGGACGTATAATCAAAAATCCAAGCATACCATATTAAATATAAAAAAAAATGAACAACGTATAAACGAGGAAAACGGTCGGAGACCGAAGACTTATCGATCGGAGGTTAGGACATCCCCCAAAACAGCGCTCTTACCCCATAGTGACACCGTGTGTCTCATCACTAAATATTAATAACTCGCTAATTATACGACATAATTTATCGAAAATCAATAGGCTTCTGATCCGAGCTATGATGAATGCACATGCAAATTTTGGAGCAGATTCAACCTCGCTTTCGTGAGATATCGCGTGCATCTAACACACAGACAAACAGACATACAGACAAACAGACATACAGACAGACAAATACCTATCAACATACTTACCGATCTTGAGATCGATAAGTAACAATGAACACATGAATCGATGATGGAATCTCCCAGAACTAAATCGAATTTTTTTTTTTAAATTATGATCTTGGGTGTTTTCGAGCGATTTGCTTGATTCCGTGTGAATTATAATTCATATTTTGTCTTTTCCGTTCATAGTTATTTTTATGATATGAAAATGTACGAAGACATAACTTTACATGGGTTTAGGCAGTTTAAAAATTTCATAAAAAGATGAGTATCGTTCACACACATAAGTTTTTTTTTTTTAAATAACTCGATCAAACTTGCGATTTGGTCATATCCGAGGTTCCGAAAATGGCGGATACCTCTTTGCTTTTGGTAAAATAGATATTCAAGAAAAAGGGAGAATATATACATTAATATTATCAAAAACTTTGATTATGATGCAAGGTCACAGGATTATAATCCAAAAAGATGCAGCTTGATTTGCTCAAATTGAAATTGGATTGTAAAATAGCATGAGACATGTTTTGTTTGTGATTTATAAACAAAACATTATTTTTGAATTATTTTTACAATAAATGAAATACCATGGTTCTCTGTTCTGTATATTTTTTGTTGTTTCTGGCGTATATGTTTTCGGTGAAATAAAAATGTCTAATGGCGGCTTGAAGTCAAAATTATAATTAACAACCTTTAATTACTGACACTCCAATTATGCACAACTTAAGACAGCATTATGAAACACGTTGGATCAAGCTTGAGCAGTGAATCAGGCTGCATCAAGTCCGGGCGATTGATTTGGTATAAATCTTCGAGGTTGGCTGAAGAGTATTCTAGAAAGATGGAGGAAGTGTTGTCAATGACTTAAGGCTAAATTAAACCAAATTCGTTCAGTATATATTATTTATTTCAACAAAACATGATTTTGGTCAGCGGTTAACGTCTTTTTGTGTTTTCCTTCGTCATGTGGGCAAAGGTGTTGTTTGGTATAAAAATATAGCCTAATTCGATGAGAAAAGCACTCTCACAATTCAGAAAAGAATACGTGAAACGTAAAATCATGAGTGATGTAACGCTGAAATGAGTGCATGAAAGCAAGCGAAACCGGACGTCACTTAGATTCACGTATTCATCCGCTACGTTAAGGTTTAACAAACTTCCCTTTATATTTTTTGTTTGTCTATGATCGATCATATGTACTTCGCGTTTTATTTTGCGAATCATATGTCTCCCGCGTTTGATCAACGATAAAGGCACACGAGCTTTCAGGAAGTTACGTAGGCCCAGTTGAGACATAAAGCTGTCCACAGAGTCATGCTAGAATAAAAATCAATAGCGTTTTATGGAAACCGGTATTACCTGATTATAATGCAACTGGGTATCTCATGTTATTCCTAAAGTGTTTAATTGCTCATAAAAAGTGAGGAGATAGACACGATGTCGTAGATAGTCTAAATACAATTTTAGCAAAATTTCCGTAATCAGTCTACCCCAGATAATTAATTTTGTCACTTGCAATTCTCACTTATTCATTTTGAAAAGTTTGTGAAATTCCGGAGCAAGGTTGAACGCATTTTCAAGCAAGTGGTGAAGAATTAACAGTTTATAAATCAAATTTGTGAGATGGAAGATTAGACTTGTAAGATAGTTAAAATATGAAAGAGAGTCATTCAAGTAGAGCTATTTCATCTTAATAGTTTGTTGTTGCTTATTTTGGTTAAATAGAAGAATTGTTCATTATTGTAAGCGACTGGACATAATGCTTACCTATGTCAGTACTTTGTGGTTATATTTGTGTGCTGGATTACGTGTCCAAAATATGACAAATTATGATATCTCAACGTTGGGAATGCAAATATGTGTAGCAATGATGACTCACTCATTATCTGAGAGTTTAGGTTAGGACTTGACCGACAGGTTATTTCTAAACTTGCGATCAAATGACTAACAAAATGTAAACTTGCGACTTCATATGCAGTTACAAAGTCAGTAAAATATTGCCGTGGGAGAGATATGATTTTGAATTGGATTGGGCAATTAAAAGTCAACAATGTAGGAGAATAGCGCATTTTGTCCTAGAATTCTTCACCTTTCCTTCCGCAAAAATTATCATTCAGACCTTGTATCAATATAGTCCTAGTGGATCCTGTTTCATGACGTAATGCAGAGTTACGTCATCAAGTACGTGATTAAAGATCGCGCGATTAATTTCACTTAAGTCGTGTTGATTAGTCATTTTAAAATGACAAATGAGCCATTTCCTAATTGCCAATGAACATATTTCAAAATAAAAGTTTTGAATCGAGGATAAATTTTTTCTATGAACTGAGAATTTGAGAAGTCTTCGTCAAAGTGTTGTAAGAAATTAAACAAATGTTCTATAATTATAAAAGTATCGCTTCAAGATTCAATATGGTTCTTGTACGTCAATACAACGTTAGCATTGTTTGTGGTTTTACAGCAATCAACCTTCGTACAATTATGATCACCGGATTTGATCACTTATCTATAATTAAACACACTTTCAAGACGTAAAATTGATGTTTTGTGGAAATAATTACAGATTGCCTCGGGCAAAGGTACAATTTTTAGCATTCATCAATAAAAGTGAAATAATATGTAAACATGTTTGCCCGCAAAGGGTACTTTTGATTTCCCAGAGAGGTCATTTTCAGTTTTAGGCACAAAATAGGAGGAAATGATTCTCATAAAAAAAGGGAATTTTCGAAGGAAATTTCTTACGTACAGGTACGAATTGGTCACAATTGTCCAGCGCTATCCAATACCAAATATCGTATTGTCCGGGTACTAACTACGATGACTATAACTATCATTTTATGAGGTGTTTCTTGTAGTGTAGTACCATAGCTTCTCGTGAAAAGATACGTCATGCCGCGTATCGGAAGCAATGCCTTAGTCATGAAGTCAATAATAATGGGACGATGCAATGTAAGGAAGGCCACAGTCTGTCACAGCACGTCGGAGTTGGTTATCTTGAGGAATCATGTTGTATCGTGATTTGTATTGAGATTAGAAATAGGCATATGGTCAGTGTGGTTCGTGGACTTAAGTTTCAATTCAAGTTGACAGTATGGCAAAATCAGCAATTTGTGTACCAGCTGTGAATAAATGACAACGCGGTGATTTAGAGTTGGAGAACATACTCGTAAAGCTTGTATAATATAATTGAAGTTGAATCGCATACTTCATGTTTTAAGCAGTATTTTGACCTTGCATAGAATTGCTGAAATTCGATGTTCATTCGAAAAAAACAGGAGCCATAGTTCGAGTGTTGTAGTCTAGTTGGTCCAAATTTTTATTTAAGTTTTAATTAGTAGTAGATAATTCTTATTCAAAATCCTAATATTTATGTCTTTTTTCAGTTCTCAAAAAAAAAAATTCAAAGATACTATTAAATTTTGTGGATTCCAGTTTTTATATTATAACAAGATATAAAAGAAAAACAGAAGAAAAAATATTGAAACTGGAAGTACTAAAAATGCTTCAACAGCGCTATTTATTGCTTATATCAACATGCGTTTTGTTGATATCAAAGTCAGGATCCGTTCCAGTAGAGGAGGTAAGCAATGGTTTGGATAAAATATAATAGGACAAATTACTATAGTAGAATGCCATTACCTACGAATGAAATAAGTAGCAAATACAGATTCGTTGTCTTTTTTCTTATGGGAATCTTTTTGCTATATTTTTCCTTTTTCTATGTCAACTGAGTAAAAAGCCTGAAATAATATTTTAATGTAATTCAGTTTGTAATGTTTTCGTGCCTGTTTTATTTATCATTGTGATCACCCAAGTACGGTCGAGTCATCGAACATTGTATTAAAATTTTGCTTTACAAAATTTAATATCGTCATGTGAAATAATGCAAAATGTTTAATTAAAATTTCCCAAGAAGAGTTTTTTGCTTAGTCATACATCTTTTAATTAATGAAATATTGGCAAGCTTGAACTGATTTTCCTCACACGTGATATATGATTTGTTATTATTACATCATTGATCATTTTCTGTGTATGCGCGTGGGTGCGTCAATAAATTACGTGTTTTTCCACGCAACTATATTCTCATCAATTTTTGTCATAATGATTTGTGAAATTACGAAGTAATTTCCTTTTCCAAGTATCCACACACGGATACATTTTTTGAAATCGCGGAATACTGGAAAGGTACGTTATGAAAACTAAGAAAAACGGCATTAAATGTATAAATTTGGAAAAAGAGGACTAAAAGAATGCCGTAACTTGACGAAACGTAAAACACTGTGGTATTGCCTCTATTTTGAACACGATATGAATGAGTTTACAATAAAAATATTCTATTTTCAGATTTCCTCTGATCTGAGTGCCCAATCGGTGGACAAGAGCGCGGGAGAAAAAGTAAGGAGAATTTCATCATACATATATTTAGTCTAATATTAATTAATGCCGTTTCTGGCAAATATCTAAATACCTCATTGAGAGATTCTGATTATTTATGATTATAGTTCTTTCATTTGATGTAATCCTGAAAGTTTATATATAATGCTATAGGTGTTCATATCACTCATTTACGCTGTATTTAAAAGGATATTTCATTTATGAAAATAAATAATAATAAAAACAAGTGTTTTCCAATAAAACTATCGATTCAATTTGCGTTTTGTAACGCTTTACTTAGTAAACATGCGGAAAAGTTGTTTCCCGTCGGCGCTTCCGTATTCTCACCCCATGGTAGTGTGAATATGTAGCAGGAAGTTGCCTATTTTTGTTACGCAAAATAACAGAAAAACAGACAGCAACAAATTATAATGACACCATGCGTGGTCATGAATTAAGTGCCTGCACTTATTCCAAGATCGCAAGCGACGCTGGTTGGCGTGCGTAAAGCATCACGCAATTTTACGTGATCTGTTACTTACGCATGCGTAACAGGAATGCCACGCACCAGACGTCTGCACTCAATTCGATTGAAATGCAATTCTTACTTTTATTTCCGGACTTGTTCTTATTCCCAAGGATTGATAATTACGTGTTTACTTCTAATTCTTAATCCATGTTTTTTTTAACTTTCAACAGGAAATAAAGGACATGAAAGATTTTTTTAAACGTTATTATGAATTTGAAGAAGATCTGAACTTGGGAGAGAGCTCAAAAGATGGTCATGGTGGGGCCAATACTCCTATAATTGATGTCACAGAAACTCCATCATTTATGGAACGTGTTATTAAACTCCAGTTGGATTTTAAATTAGAGCCAACAGGTGAGATGGGAGAAAAGACACATTGATTGGTGTCTCTATATGGATAGTTGGGCAAAAAAACATTTGTTTTTAAGACAATAGTATTTCACATTTCAGTTTGTTTATATTCAACAAAACATTATGGTAAATACAAAACTAAAAAAGTTTTCTTATTTGAATTAAGACTATTTCGAAGAGTTTTTTTTCACAGAATAAGGTAAAAAAAAAACGGCTTTATTCGTATTGTATCTTTTTAAGGTAAACTGAGTCACGATTTGGTGAAAAAAACGAAACAGACTGATCGATGCGGAATGACAGATCCGCCGAGAGATGATGACGCCCCATCGAATTATGTTGTTAAAAGTTCTTGGGACTCAAAATACGATTCTAGAAACAAGCGATATCATTTGACATACTCGTGAGTGATATATTTCCCAGTATATTATTTTGAAATTTGACTCTATGCATTCAAATCTAATACAAATACATATCATCCTATTTAAACAGGTTTTTAAGAAATACATTTCCCTCAAAGTTAACCGAACGAGTTATAAAACAAGGAGTTCTGAGTGCAATGTGTATGTGGGAATGGAATTCCAACGTCCGGTTTACAAAAGACATTGGGGATAATAAAGAAAACATTGCTGATATTTCAATCGCCTTTGGTTCGGGTAAGGACGGGCTATAGTTTCCAATTATGAGTAAATTTCTCATAGCATAGCTGCTTAAAACGATAAAGGCATACCAACTGATTTTTAAACTGATAGCTTGAAACTCGGTCAAATAACAAAATCATTAAATTTGTACAAAAATGCATTTTTTAAAAGATGTTATCCACTATTCAATTTACTGCTATTTATTATATTAATCTTTCAAGCATATGCATCTAGTAAGTAGATTCTAGTTAGTCAAAACCGTCACTTAAGCTCCATTATTCTGGTCTAATTTCAGGTGACCATGGAGACAGATTTAGTTTTGATGGGAAAGGTGGAACATTGGCACATGCGTTTTATCCTGAAAATGGCAGATTACATTTTGATACAGATGAATCGTGGTATCTATCAATCGATGATAATCGTGAGTAATTATTCTACATGAACCAATCGCCTTTTTTACGCTAGAAATATAATATAATTAAAATAATGACAATATATTTCAGAAATTTGGAGTGACAGAGATATATTTACTGTGGCCGCCCATGAACTTGGCCATAATCTTGGACTTGACCATTCAAACACAGAGCAAGTTTGCTTTCTTGTTTATTTTTGTCGGCGGTGTCTATATACGTCTGTGTTTGTGTCATTTGAATTAATATCATTGAATTTTATTATCTTTTATCAGCGCATTAATGGCACCGTTCTACGAATTTCGGAAATCTTTCAAGAATTACGAACTTCCAAGTGACGACAAAGACGGAATGGCCAGCATGTACGGATATCACAATCGTGAGTATAAATATCTTTCATTCTATTGGAGTAACTGAGTATAAAACGTAAAAGCCACACTAGGAGTGTGGAATTGTATTATTCGGAGGAGAGACAATGCCATGCACACCATGTTGATTCTGGTCGGGTATTATTCGAAATTTAATTTCATTCTCAAAGTATTGAACTCAATAAAAATATATTTCAGCTACAAATCCAGAGCATGAAAGCAGGAGCGCATGTAGAACGTTAGCCAGTCACTATGGAGTAAAGAAAAATAAGAAGGATGGCACGGGCACGACAACAACTTCCACACTGCCACCAGCTTCAACACAAGGCCCAACCATTAAAACAACACAGCCTACAACTACGACCGCAGCTCCAACAGGTATGTTGAAGTTGTAAATTACCAAGTTTGCAAGTATTATACCATATTATACATTTAAACTAATAAGGTTTGAGAAAAAAGGCCAAAAAATAATACATTTTTATGTCTCCCATCATAAAAACCTTTAACTTTTGTACCGTTACAGGAGTTCCTGGATGTAGGGACGATGCGATCATGGGACAAAACTGCCCAAGATGGAAAGAGTTGGGATATTGTACTCGAGAGGGTCAAGCAGAAACAATGGGTCGAAGATGCAAATTCACCTGTGGACTCTGTCCAGGTTTGTATTAAGAATAAGTTAATATATATATACGTGACGATGACGACTACGGAATGGAATAATAGCGCTAGCACTAAATGCCAACTTACTGACTGTCCAATAATTTCTATACGTGCATTTATTATATTTTTATGTTTTATTTATTTCTGTACTTTTTTTCAGTCAATCCCACAGATGGAGGTACAAGCGAGAAGGTTATGCCAGACAGCGTTTGCCAGATTGGTCAATTTGATGCTACAGCGACCAGGTACGACGGAGGAGAATATTTCGAATCGTTTCATTACAAGGTATGTCTGCTGTCAAAATGAAAATGCGACATGTAGTGTGAAACTACAGCCTGCAAGACATGATACATTTGCTAACCTAATTATGTTCTATGTTAAAATCTCCATTATCTAAACACATCAAGATATTATAACCATTTTTGTCAACTTTCTGGTGAAGCAGCGCATTGGCTTGATCAAATTTATATGTTAAAACGGAAAACATGTTTTTATGTTACTCTAACTCGTTATCTGTGTTATTTTCAGAGTGGATACTACGTCAGAACTTTCACTCGCCTGATAGATTCACAAAATAAAAAGTACAGCCTTCTTAACCACACCAATCATATCGAAGATAGTCTTTACTGGTTGGCCGATCCAAAGAAATACAAACCAGGGACTCGTAAAACTGATAGTTTATTCAGCAAAACGACAGCCGTCACGTCCGTGATTCCAGCTCGCAAATGGTACCTTGTTTTCGATGGTGAGTGATAGTTCTATTTATATTAATATTTTCTGATAGTTGCAACTTTCAACAATACGACTTTTTTTCTATGAAATTTTTGGCGAATATGTAAGAAAATAAATCTACTGAGATTGTTCATCTCCGTTAGGAAGAGTCACATCCGGCATCAGTTCCAATGAAGTGATGTGATCCGAATTAATTTGAAACTCATCATGCAGTGAGTTATATAACCAAGTTAACTCAATTTGTTTTGTGCAACTGCAGATAAGGGAAACGTAGATCAATATAGCAGAGGAACGCCGACTACAGTACACATTCATAAACATAAGATAGGAGCGCTGTTTCAAAGTTATCCACATAATGGAGTTGATGCATCATATTCTGAAGACAAAATAGTCAAAGATTCGTCCGGAAGAAGTCGACGTGAGACTCATTACACATTATTCAAAGGAGAAAAAATGTGGCAATACAGAGTAAGTATTATTAAACCAGAGTGTATTGAGCAGGTATCATAAAAATACTTAATACTAGGCAGTATTCAAGGTTCAATTAATTTAGTAAATTCTAAAATTAAAATTGTTTGATACATCGAGATATTATTAAGTCTTTAAATTCAGAAGTAAGGGCTGTAATTCTATTATTTATCCCAATTTTGGAGACGATGATTATATCGAATAGTTCAATGAAATTGGATGCCGTTATACTTATATAAACTGTATTATTGCTATAATCGAATTTTATTAAAAATTGGCAATGTATTGATTTGCTAACAATAAATAAGTTTTATTTTATCGAAAAATGTAAGCAGTAGTAACCCGTGCTGCGTACGTTGAAGGTGCATTAGAAGCTGTTGTAATGATTTTAAGATAACACAAATGCCACCGACTGGATATCCTTCAATAAAATTGGAACGAATCTTCATTTAATTCTCTTTTCTTTTTCTAAGGAAAACGATCAATCACGGATATTAGACACTCGAACATCTGGAGACGAGTTGAGATATTTCCCTATCAGTGGCAAAACTAATGTGGATATTTCTAGTTGGTATGGAGTCCCGGCTTGTAATGTTGATTCAGTGTTCAAATACAAAGGTAAGAGGATGTTATTATGTAAATACTAATATTAGGCTTGTAACTTCAATATATAAACCACTGCAATTAAATATTTATTTTTCTGTCTAGATGTTCCATACTTCTTGAAAGGAAACGTCTTCTGGCCAGCTACAGATCAAGAACCGGCAGTAGCGAGAGACATGACATACCAGTAAGTGTTTTAAACAATATATCAAATATATTTTTGCTAGTAGTACTCGCTTACCAAAATTAGGAGCGCCTTGTGAACTCAGAGGTGAAGATGCAGACAATCAGCAAAACAGTGATATGGTTCTGCCTCACACGATTCTCGTTGATTTCGTATTTAAAGTGCAAAATTAGACTTTGGTCCGGAAAGAATTGATCATTGACATTAATAGGGTCAAGTTTAAACTAAAATTACCCCCGGTTTCATCATTACTAACGTTCAATTTGATCACATCAGCAGCTTGAAAAAATATTGTGTAATATAAGGATGTCAAAATCTAAAAATATTTTTTGTTTCAGTTTTTTCCGCTGCCCAGACAAATCGCCAGCTACAGTGCCGGTACCCACTGGTTGTACAAAGTATCTCGGACTGACTGAATCGTCTGCAAGCAGCACAACATTATCAATGATGGTCATATTTTTATCCTTGATAACAACCTTTTTATTACGATAAAGATAGACTTATTGAACTACAACTTGTCACAGCAGGTGGAAATGCCGTAAAGTCCTAATTTCTTCACTTCAAAATCTATGCCATAGCTAATGTTTTTAAATACAAAAATACTACCTGAAATTGTTGGTTAAGACTCAGGTAAAATTTATCTAAACACTACTGCTGTACACTCGCTCACTTCATTTTTGAAGTCACAGCAAAAAGTCCTCCCAGAGCAAAAACGTAAACCAGCACTCTAAAATTTGTTGTATGAAATCGAACTCTATTTTTGTTTGTCGATCTTTTGTTCCGCGTAAATTGTAATGCTGTTTGATCACTGTATATTTTTTCTTCGAATGTTTCGTTATTGCACTTTATTATATATATATTTATGAAATACTTTGTGTCGATGCCAATTATGATTTTAGATATTGTATTATTTTGGTTTGTGCTCAGACTTTACTGCAAATAAAGTTGATGTTACTACTATGAAAAATATGCTTGAACTGACTAAAACAACACTAGCATAGGCAGTATATGAACAACCTCCTGCCTAGATCTAAATCCTCAAAAATGTTACAATAACTCCCAATTCTCTGCGATCGTCTCTTCCTGTCTTGTTTTCGTTTTTAGTAGGACAGTTTATGCAGATTTCAATCAACTCACTGCACAGAAACAGTCAACCCTGGTACACTAATTTATATCGGACACACGTTCAGGCAAACGCTGCCGCGTTCATCTTTAGAACCATGCTGGACCGCAAGCCCCAGTCAACCCTGGTACACTGATTTATATCGGACCCACGTTCATGCAAACGCTACCGCGTTCATTTTTAGAACCATGCTGGACAAGCTCCTTTCAATCAGATAGGACATCAGTACTACACAAATACGTCGTATATTTTTACATGGATATTTCTGTGAAACGTTTGAATTTTTTCATGTCACACCATACATATAGAGTATAGACGATGGTAGCTTCGATACGCCTGCGAGAACGGATTGGGCTTTTATATAGAGATCGAGGAAAGCTTAGTTACATGTGTATCAGATTTATCCCAGGCATAATTAACCTAGCATGGGATTAGAACCTGCGAACCTACGCACGGCCGAACGCAGCACACAATACACTGAATATGTCAGTCAAATCTATTGTAACCAAAAATTAAGATTTGCCGGTCATAAAATATCTCAGGCATAATTAACCCAGCACGAGATTAGAACCTGCGAACCTACGCACGGCCGAACGCAGCACACAATACACTGAATATGTCAGTCAAATTTATTGTTACCAAAATTAAGATTTGCCGGTCATAAAAGCAACACCAATGTAACGATTTCGCAGCATAACCAGTACCAACGAAACGATGACCACGAAGAGAATTATCCCAGTGATAATCATAAGCAGAGTCAGCTGATCCATACCTTGAAATATAACAAAGTTAAACATTGGAAACAAACGCGCATATACATTAATTCACGTTCCCGTTCTTACCAGCAAGTTCGCTAGATGGAGATCCCAAGGATTTTAGTGGCGTTTGCTCAAGGTTTTGCAACGCAAGCTCGACGTTTTCCTTCACAGGCTCTAGTTCTAACACAGTTGCTTTGTCCTCCATGCCGTTTAGTTGAACTAGAGGGATTCCTGCAGAACCACTGACCAGAAGAATTGGGCCAATAGCTATGGGAGCAGAATCAACGCTCCTTCGTTTACGCGACACCAGGCACCTATTAGCACGGCTGTTGTCCGAGCAAACCTTGAGAATACAATTGAATACGGATGAAAATTTGAAGCAATTACCTGCCAACAGATATTTAACTTGGCGAAGTAAAAAAAAGGCATTACTCACCCCTACACTGCTTCTATCACAAGATACCAATTTTGCGTGGATGTAGAACTCTTGGCACGATAGGCTTCTTGGTGTTTGGAAAGACACACAAACAGTATGTCCAACAGCACTGGTGGTGATCTTACACGGAAGACCAGCCGTTGTGCCACATCCAGCCTGCACAATTCCAACAATACTGCTTGCAGAGGGGGCGGGACTACAGGATAAATACATCTCCTCCACACCGGTGACTTGATTACCAGACTGCAAATAGTAAAATTAATGGTTCACACTTGCAATACAAAGTCGGAAAATAACACTCCGGCACTCACATCTAGTGACATCGTGACGTGAATCATCTCCCCAACGGTATAGACAGCACCTCCATTGACGGCGAAGTTCGATGGACAGGAATCTGGACACGAAAGTGTCTTGCACAGGGAAATGCTGGGTGTAATCAATTGGCGCCCGGTAATGACCGCTGGTGTGCTCACACTGCAAATAATATTCATTTAGAAGGGGCCGGAAATAATTCATTTAGAATGGGAAAATCCAAAAATAAATGAAAACACAGCTAGTACTTACACAGGGCGAATCGAAGTTACCACTCTATATTGTCTCTCGTATCTACACTGGAACTCTGCGACTGGAATTGGCATATCAAACATAGAGTTCGCGAGACGTCGGTTGAACCACATTTGATTAGTGAAAACAACTTGCCCGCCGACTGACGACATTTCTGTGCCACAAGCACTAAACGGAATCGGGATCTGTATTTCATAGAATCCATTGATCGCAGCAGCAACTGAAACAAATATAGAGTTTTAATTCAATTCTTTAGTTACAAGCACAAGTATATCTTGCAATACCTTCACAGCCTTGGGTGCCGCCCAGATTTCTAACAATGTTGATGAAGCTGTTCCGTAGGCCAAGATCATACTCACGTACGAAACTTTCGGAAACCGAGAAGACAATGCGATTAGTTTCACATCGGAGAGATGGTACAGCTAAAAAAGCATATTTATCACCATCAGGCTTGTTTAAAAGTCATCGCATTCACATTCGTGCAAGCTGCCAATACTTACGAATGGTGCAATTTTTGCCAAGATATCCGGAAGCACTTCTGCAGTAATAACCACCGGCGTGTTGACACGATTCGTGGCACTGACAATCCCTCTGGCATGGGTTCGGAGAGCATGCTCCCATTCTCGGAGCGACAACTAAAATTTATAAGGCAGTTTACTAACGGCATCTAGGAGCATCAAATCGAATCACTATACAAACAATACTCACTGTTACAGTTTTCGCAATGTTCTCCTTTGCAGTTGCTAGGGCAAGCGCACTTATAAGATCCGCCGTAGTTGACACATACGCCACCGCTTAAACAAGGATTTTGGTTTGAGGAGCAATACGGCGGAGATGAAAAACCCTGAGAGTTGGTGCCATCGCCTTAAAAAATGCAACGTATTAGAATCATCGCTAATAAAACGGAATAAACCTGAACTTACCTCCGTCTACGCTGCATGATGCAACCAGGAAAACTCTAGAAAGAAAAAGTAGATTTAGTTCAAGCGAGGAGTTGAATCACGATAGGGAACCAAGTAAAGATAGAAAAACACATATTTAAAGTGGTACTGTACTTAATATCAAGTATCTGTGACAATACTTACAGAAAATAGGATACAGAACGCATCTTAACGAAAAATGATATCAACTTAACGAACGAAAAACGACGTAACAAAAACAAAGCTATAACCGGCTAACAAACGTAGGTAAACAAACTAAGAGAGTCGATGTCTGGACAATCCATTTTATTCAACTAGGCTTCGCACGAATAATCAGAAGATTGCGTTGTAATTATTATTATTATTAAACACTAGTCGCTTAATTCTTTGTTGTGGTGCTATGTAGATGTTATTTTTTATTTTTTGCATATACTACGAAATAAACTCTTCCAAAGCTCACCTTGCTTAGTAAGTTTCATGGTTAAACACTGTCAGGAATATGCATGATTGCTACTAATTCCAGGAAATAAATTATTCGAGATTGCTCAAATCCCCCTGAAAATGTATACTAGCGAAAGTGACATTCATTCATCATAACCTTAACAATTTGAAATATTACTTCTAATACGTTTTATCAAATATATTGTTTCGATGGAAAAATTGTACCTTTATCTTCGTATTTATTTGATGACGATAAAATATATCAGTGATGGCGAACCACTGACCCGCGGGTCACAAAATGACCCATCGCATTATTTCGGTGACCCACCATAGCACGAATTAAATAAAAACATACTAACATACAAATGATAAAAATTGATATGACCGTATCTAATTAAATTTAAAGTTTACTATATTATGTAATCCATCATTTGGGCAGCCAGGGCAGCGATGGCTCAAATTCGAATTGTAATTTCCGGGTCGTCTGCACCCCTGTATACTACTATGCAGCTATTGGCTGTGACATTGTTTATGTCATAACGATACAATTGATCAGTTCATTTCTCGCAACGTCTTGTTACAGCGTTTCCTTTCGGATATGCAAAACCAAAAGGCCCTGCAGACTGTCTTGGGGGTATTCGAGAACTAAATGCTACCTTGCATTTTATTAGTTGCTAGCCTACAATGCCGTCGAGAAAACAAAATATTTTAGACTTAAAATAAAAACCGAGAAATCTGAAATATAAATGGGGCAGTGTAAAATCGCCTCAATGTGGTTGAAAGCTGATCTAAAAATATAACCCTATCAGAGTCAAATTCCCTCCCAAACTTCTCTAAACCGTAAAATAATTTGCCGCATCATCCTAAACGTTTTCCGGTAATTCATATGCGTGTTTCCGTACACGAATTTCATAAAATTCAAGTGCTACAAAAAGTCTAGTAGTCAAGTTTGTTCTTTCTCAAACATCGATTAAATATTAGTGACCCACACTCTTTCGCTCCGTGATAAAAACATAATTTTTGACCCATTCCTTAAAAAAGCCATCCCTGACCTATATATGTCAGGGTCGTCCAACCGTTTTAGCCGAAGGGCCACATGTAGTTTACTAATAATTGCGCGGGCCACTCAACATGACATTATGTTTTAGTTTTGCTACACTGACTACAGGTTGATAAAAAAACAAACAATACCCTCACACCAAACTTTCACAAGTATTATACCAATAAAACTGTTGTTTCCCAACCATTGATGGAGCGCCATCCGTAGTTATTTCCGAAAGTTTCGCCGAAGACATGCCAAGACGCTTGATCTTTTTTATCACAGCACCCAACAGACCAAGGCCTCAAGTCGCACCCGTAATAGAGACAATGACCGCGAGCTCTGCGGTAATTTTAAAATCATTATTAACTCCCCGCAATAAGATAGCCAACTGAGCAGTAACCTTGATATCAGTGCTCATAATAATATAATACATAATATACATTCTCAATCTGAGAATGGCTTCGATTGTTTTGCGATAACGTCATATAGAGTAGTAAAAGACCAAGTGTGAAAGCGGCTATGGCATCTTTTTTTATCGATGTTTCCTCCCAGTTGTTTTAGATTCAAAATGAAACTAATGGCTCATTTGAAAGGGCCGGCAGAGCGCATTTCAGGAAAATAAACAAATCGTTTGTATCACATCTTGGTATACTACGCCACTCGAAAAATCGATTTACTTCAATTTTTTTTATTTAATTCTGAAAAACACAGCGCGGGCCAATTGAAATGCTTCTGCGGGCCACATATGGCCCGCGGGCCACTGGTTGGAAAACCCTGATATATGTGGACTCGATGCGCAGTAAAATCATATACAATGTTCTCTTTCATTAATTTAGTTACTCAGATAGCATTCTGGCGCCCTATTCAATTTGGCGTGATCATAACAAAGAATTTTATTTAGAGCATTCTTTCTATAATGAATCCTCCCTTAAGTTTGTCTATAGTAAAATTGTTTTACTTTTTTTTTTATAGATTTATCTTGATTTGCAGCATGTAACTTTAACTACGAGAAAAAATACAGACAAAGGATATGATTCCCTTAGGATACATGATTTTCGAATTGATAGATGCAGGTGGTTCAGTGAGGCTTATAGCTTGCCTTGAGTTGCCGGGTTAGGCGTAAATATGAGATATGCGGATTTTCAGACTCTTGTTGTTTTTCTGATCGAATATTATGTATGTTATAACGGTTCTTCTGTAATCTTTGTTAGGAAATTTCCCGCCTGAACCAATAACAAGAATTTTGGGAGAACAAGTTTTCAGATGAGTTTAAATGAGAAATTATAATAACGGTTCTTAACAACTGCATGAAATTCCATACTAGTAGGTCGTTTGGATTACAATAGTATAGATATATGGTTGAGTTTATTTTACCTTTGAAGGTGACCAGCAATGGCAACAAAATTATATTAAGAATGTTAAAACATAATATCACTGCTGATATTTTAGGCACAATATCCTATTGCATTCGGCTTGACTATAATAGGGGTAGGCAACCTTTTTTTCAGTTTGCGTGCCAAAATCGACAAAATTCAAAGGCAAAAATTATGCCTAGTGCAAACCGAATTTGTGATACTATTTTAAAGGTATAAGTGAAGAGCCTGAAAGAAATGATAAATATATTTATTCACCCCAAACATATTGCTTTGCAACTTTCAAAGCAAAACCTGCATGATAACAAATCCTTCAAACAGGTATTATTGAGTCACTTTTCAATAAAATATCAGTCCGACAACAGGGTTTTATTAATTTTTTTATGATTTATCAGTGAGTCTTCAGGTAATGCCCTATTGCTGACAGAAATTTTACATTGGTTTATATTTGTAACCTTCAGAGAAATACACGAATTACTAATTTTATCAGTCATGTTACTACCATTACAAGCTAGCTGTTACGTCATAACATATTTCTTTGCATCAGACGTCACAAAAAGAGTTTAGTTGATGAATGACGGATCGTTGACAGTCAAACGACCTTTAGGCTTTACAATCGAAAAAGAATGTTGCCTACTCCCTAGCTAGAATCATTCTGCTGTTAGGTATAAATGAATTGGCGGTGACGATGCTCATACCATATCCCATTTTTTCATACTGGTGATACAGTGTGGTGTTTTTGTTTTGTCATGGAAGCCAAACTCTGGTTATGCTGGTTCTTTTCAAGTTTACCTAATGATTTGTATCACATGTATGGATGAAGCTAATATAGTCAATTCCTTTAAACAAGAAAATAGAACATAGAGACATTGGGAATACACCAAGTTACTTTTACCTTCTTTATCGTACTAAACATGAAACTGCGAGGGTGAATACAGAGTATTTCTCAACTGGTGAGTGAGTTCGGAAGAAAAGTGTAGTTCTTTGCAAAAAAACATGCTCCTCATTTTTCATCTGCCAGAATTTTGTCAAACAAAAGACAAGCTTGCGATCAATGCGTAATTCCCTCGGTTAGCACACTACCTCTGTCCGTGGATTACTTCAACGGTAATAAATAGACCTTAATACATGTATGTTGATATTTATTTGAGAATTCGAATGGCATGAACGATATCACAGTCCAACTAGACTGTGCCATATTTTATCCCAATTAAAATCGTGACATCGCGCCAATGTCCACATTCTAATTAATTTGATTTTACGCCATCTGATATGATCAACGGAAATGTTCAGAAACTAGGATAATTATAGTTTCTCTCCAAGTCGTACCGACGAAAACATCGTTAAAGGTTTGGGTTGAAATGTTAAATAAAAGTAAATAATAATCTAAGAAAGAAACTCGAATTTCTAGAAATTAATTTGTAAAATTGATGAAATAAAATACGAATTACATCGCTTTATAACAATTGTTACAGTGATGAACGTTGTTGGAAGTAACTTCTCAGCGACGATGCCATAGATCTTTGCACAAACACAAAATGACAGCTAACATCCTTCTCTTCTTTTACTGTTGGATTTTCACAACATTTAAGACCAGGTTTAAAGTCATAGTGCAAGTGAGCGACTTCAGTAAGCCCCCAGCTAGACATGAGCTTTCTTGCACCCGATAATGTGTCTATAATGACCCAGTATAGCAAATAACCTCTTTTAGTGGATCCATTTCTCGTTTCGAGTTCCTTCATCATTAGAAATGCAGCTTCGTGGGTATAGTCAGTCATAATTTTTGTTTTTTTGTATTCGCTCCTCACAGCTATGCGTCCGGGATATAGTGGCAACAGTCCCATATTGTCTGCAGCTTTTTTGATCGGTTCGTGTATATGTTCAACGACCCATTGATCTCTCCTATTTGAGAGAATAATTGTAAAATATAATGCAGTTCACATAAATAAACAATATATTGTGACGATGTATATCACAATGTCGTTTTATCCTATAAATCGTTACAATATGAAATATTTTACGCGTGGGTTTGATATTAGTACGAATCAATGAAATGGAAATAGCCTGGGATATAAAGGTATAAATATATAGTTTTTTACTATTAGTTACTCACTTGAGTAGGATCTCAGTACCCTTGCTATAAATCTCAAACATTCTTGAAGTATCCACTGGTCTTGTAGTGAAATTGCAACGAAAAATCCAACCAATGATAATTTTTGCATTTGCGAGATTTTTCCCATCTTCTCCTCGATCTGTTTTGAGAATGCTTAGAATGGCCCTTTCGTCAGAATACAATTTCTAAAAACGGTGAACATTTTGATTAGATTTTCTCAATTGCTTTCTTAATTTTATTCCTTAGGACGAAGGCAACTCACATCGTATATGTATCTAAAATATTCTGGAATTAGTTTCTTCCTCTTCTCCAAGTTAGGCAGGTATCGTTGAGCAAGCGAAGAGTGAACGAATTCTCTTCCACAAATCTCAAGAAATTCATCCCAGTCTTCTCGACTTCGGCAAATCTCTAACCACAAGCTAAACAAACAGTATTCTGTTATATTCACACAAAAAATCGATAATGTTGTAAATCATAAATAAAGCATTGACTGAATATCACCATGCAGGAAAACCAACAAAACTACGGGGTGTTAGTGAATGAGTCCGACAACACGTGATATATAAAGTGAAAACAAACAGCAAAAATCACAGCGAGAGCTGAGTAAGAGTTTTCAAACATTTTACTCTGAGTTGACAGTTATGTCCAAATAGGCAAATAAAAGAATTCATCGGCAGCCAAGTCAGTCCTTGGTGTACATTACCAGTAAAGTATCATGCCAATACAGTCCAGGAACACAGTATGTGTACCAGATTAGGGTTCAGGTTGTGCGCCATCTTGGTGCACATACTTCGGGAGCGCCTCATTTGTTTGGTATATTGAATAAAGGGGACACCAAGTAACATAGATGACATCATCATGGACTACATCAAAAAGAGGAGTGGGTTTATCCAGAAATACCCACAAAATAATATACAACAAATCACAAAATGGCCATCTCAATAATTTATTAGTTGTTTGCTTAGTACAAACAAAGTCACCTGGTAAGCTATTTTTTTCTGAGGCAATTTACTTTTAACATATATATAACGATAATTCCATAACAGTTTCCTACCTGGACTTTGTAGAACTGTCCATGTCCACCACCTAAGGCTATTCTATGATGCTAAATACCAACGTGCTAGAGAAGAATGATGAATAATGAACAGATCTAGTTAGACGTATTTAGTTAATGTTTGATCAGCGTGCAGATTCGATATACTACCAAAAGCAGACATTTGTTTGAATACTGTAACCTGTATAAATGTTCTTTCAGGTAGTTTATTACACAGACATTTGGTATATCCTGCTTGTTTTGTATCACTCAATTTCGGAATCACGATTGAAGGATTATCTTCATAAATACAAGCAATACAGATGAAAAATTCCAGTACAAACGTTATAAACAGAAAGTATTTAACAGCCATTAGACGTATAGCTAATTTGTTAACTGGGAAGTTACGACTATTATAAAAGATCTGTGTATCACTTAAAATCACTAAAACCCCTATTGATCAGGCGATGCCACAGGTAAAAGGACAATACGATAGACCAGGGGACCAGAGAACCAAAGGTTATCTGCAATGGAGGTACTTTGAGGCAGAAGAACCGGAGCTTCGAATTTTTTCAGTAAAGCAATCACACAATTTAATGATATTTATACCTATACCTGTGATACTATGATTGACTCTTGTATTTGCTGTTACAAAGTTCCATTCACATGGCAAATCAGTTTGGAAACAACCCATAAGCCACTTCTCGCTTCACTCAGAGAGAATAAGCCACTTCCCAACGCAGCTTTTTACTTACTGGCTTACTTTCCACCTTGTAATGGTGTAGTGCAGGGATGTGCAAACTGCGGCCCTCGGGCCAAATGCGGCCCGCAAAGAAAAATTGAGCGGCCCGCGGAGAAGTGCTAATTTTGAATAGTGTGCCCGCGAAACAAGTTTTTAGTTTAGTTAATCTGGTACGTGCGAGCAATTCCAATCTCTTTGCGTCGCAAAGCCTATACTAGTACCTGAGTGCGACTATCAAATTAGCAAAAGTAGCTCGCAAAATCCTGTTGCACAATACACAATGCTATAAAATCGTGTTTCTCACTGAATTCGCTTAAAGTCGGTGTGGCAATAAATTTGAATAGCAGTTTTCTTTAGAAATTTATGCGTTTTGACTCAGCATTTCCGCAAGGACCCCTAACAATGCCGTTAAATCAATACCAAGAAGAAACAATTTTTTGTGCTTGCAACTACAGTAGAAACTCCACCTTCAAAATTAATTCGTTTCGTAGGCCCCTTTGCGAGTAGAAAATTCCCTAAGTAGGGACGCATTTTCCTTGCAAATGCGCTAATCCGTTCTAAGCCTCGCAAAACTTGGACATAATATTTGTAATAAGTTATAAAAGTGGTTAAAACCGTAACGAATACATGATAGAATTGAATTACTGCGTAATAAATAGAAAAGGTACACATGGAAAGAAGAAAGAACAAAGAAATACCGAATAAAAACTACGGTATGTTTGTTTAATTTGGCATTGGCCGATTAGGCGAGGCTAAACGAAGACCGCTGAGAGTTGGGAGGACGTTGGTCGGAGGGGGCGGCAAAAGTTGACAGCTGAGAGAGAACGTAATGTACGAAAATGCACACACACACATGAAATTCAAAAATTTTTATTTTTTTTTTCATCATATCATCGTCTTACTGAGTATCGCTATCAACGCATTATACGTACCCGCGGGAAACAAACGGGCCCGTGGGCATGGGAGGGCATATAATTTATTGCCACGCAGCACGACTGCATTCGATTACGATAAAAAATGAAGGAATTGTAAATGTTTTAAATAAAACGTGGACGGCGGCGCTAGATGTGTGCGCCCTATTCGGTATTCTTATAAGCACGAAAAACATTATTCTAAGGCTGCGATAATGAATATTAAATTCAAATTGAACATCCCTTCTTCCAGCACTGCATTAATTTAACCTAAAATAAACAAATATCACTACCAGCGTTTTTTGTTTTCGGTTTTCGGCCTTTCGTATGTAATAAAATCTTACGTTAGCCGAAGCAATATTTTTACGAGAAGAATTTTCGTAAGTAGGATTTTTTGTATCCAGAGTCTTTCGTAAGTTGAGTTTCGCGGTGCGACCGCGACTGCACCCAGTTACTTGCATCTGACCCTCCTGTGATAAAGGTTGCACATCCCTGGTGTAGTGAATCTTCTCGAGAAAGCTGATGCTTATTAAAAAACCCAAAGTCGAATCAATTCAGTCTTGCGCCCGAAGAAATCCTGCACTGTCCGCATTAATTTATCATACCAAAATAATTTGCCATAGACCTTGACCCAAACTAAAGTTACAAATTTGTAAAAGCAAAGTGACAAAACTAAGGGAACATGGAAATTGTACGTTCAGGCCGCAGTGGTTCTCAACCTTTTTATTGTTCGTGGCCCATTTTCGTCGCATTAAAATTTTGTACTTCACTAACTTTCTCATGCAAGGGAAAAACTACAAGAAAAACAAGACTTTTATGCAAAATTGAATATATTTTTACTTTAGTATTTAGAATGAAAAGTAGCAGCATCATTTATTGCTTCTAAAATAAAAATTTGACTATAATAACACAAATGAGACTAAACTTTCCAAAAACCATAGTAATTTTTATTAGGCCTGTGGCCCACTTGAAAATGTCTCTAAGTTTTTCATTTACTTTACGATGGTTATCTTGGTATATGTTATATGGAGAAGACTGGTTCGTCGTAACCTGACCTGGAATAGCTGCTTTGCTGAGTTTATAAGATAAGTTTGGATGGCGCAAACACGATTTCTTCATTATCGGCTTAGGTGGATTAGAGGAGAGGGGGATATTCTTCGGTTGGGAAACGGGATCAACTGAAGAATCTCCACCCCAACCAAGACCAACTGAAAAATTTACCCACAGGTGAGTCCAACTGAAGAATCACCTCCTCAGGCGGGTCCGGGGGGGAGGGGTTCTTTAGTTGATCCAAAAATTTTAGCTATCATTATGCGTATACTGAATTATGTTAAAAATCGTTCTAAATCAGAATAAAAAGTGGAATATATCAGAAAAATCGGTTTACTTTCAGCCGGTACCGATACACTTGCCGATATCACAACAGCTGTAGGAGGCAAACTGTGTCAGCAGTACGTCCCGTCTTAATGTTAGTCAATTATTGTAAACCAGAGGTGTGCAACCTGCGGGCCAAATGCGCTCACACAGATAAATTGTGAGGACCGCGGAGAAGTGCCTATGTTGGAAAGTTTGCAACCAGCAAAACGAGTTTTTACTTTAGGGCAGGGATGGGCAACATACGGTCCGCGGGTCGTGTCCGATCCGCGACGAGATTTTGACCGGCCCGCCGACTGTATCCAACCACTCTGTAATGTGGTCCGACGCATCATTCCTGAAATATGACGATTGCTCTACTATCACCGCATTATCAGTGCGAGCTTGTGAAATAAACAATTGCCTTAGTGAACAAACAATTGCGTTAGCACACTTGGTAAATAAACAAAACAAGGTCAAAGCAGAGAGCGTTGTAAACATTCCCCGCTACTGTTATCATTTATATTTAGATTTTGAATATTTTAGAAATTTTATATTAAGTCATTATTAACCATTTTATATTAAGTCATTATTAACCATCGAATATCCCAAGAAACGTGAAGTTGACAGAGTGTCGAGCATTTAACAAAGATTGGACACCGAAGTATTTTTTTGTAATAATCCGGCCCGCCGAGGACTTCATTTTTCCACATCTGGCCCGCCGACTAGAAGAGTTGCCCACCCCTGCTTTAGGGGGATCTGGTACGCAAGTCGTTCAGTGCCTTTGCGTTGTGTTGCAAAACCTGTACCAGGGTCCACTATAGCTTTGACGTCACAATGCCGAACAACTGGCTTGTGCGAAGTGTACAACCCATGTCATATGCCTTGCGTTGTGTTGCAAAACCTGTACCAGAGTTGCAAAACCTGTACCAGAGTCCACTATAGCTTTGACGTCACAATGCCGAACAACTGGCTTGTGCGAAGTGTACAACCCATGTCATAACTAAAATTGTGTAGCGTACGAGCGTACGTACGTTAAACAACGGTGCGGCCGATTCAAACAGTGGGGGGGCCATGAACAATTGCTACAACAGTACATGTTCAAACAACATAACGAACGCTGCGAGATCTTCAACCCTTTCGGCTTTCTACAAACGGCACGAGATTTGAAAAAATTTTTCAAATGAAACAAATTTATTAGAAACACAAAATCAGGATTTACTGGTCATCGTAGCAAAAGTAACAGAACGATTACGTATTACCACAAATAATAAGGCAACGAGTATGAGAAGAACTATACCACTGCTGATCACGATCACCATAGTCTGATAGTTCATACCTGCTAATAGAATAGTAATTAGAAATATCAAAATGCAAAATAAGTATTTAAACAAAAATTCTATATTCGGAAGATTTACCGGAGGCGGGTTCTGGTGCTGTAACATCTACTACAGGTGAATCTTCCAAGACAAATGCCGTCTCCTTTTTGGGATCGGATTCGAGCACCCTCTCCACTCTTACTTCGTCGGCCTCCATACCATTAAGACGAACTTCAGGTATTCCAACGGAACCATTGATAACGACGATTGGGCCAAGGGCTATAGGGGCAGATCCAAGACTTCTCCGCTTACGTGAAACAAGGCATCTGTTGACACGAAAGTTGTCCGAACAAGCCTGAAAACAAAATGATTGGCAAGAATTAAACACGAAGCTTAAATACCCAATGAAAATCAATTAAACATCATAAATAAAATACTCACTCCCACGCTGCCTCTATCACAAGATACCAATTTTGCATGGATATAGAACTCCTGACACGACATGCTTCTTGGCGTTTGAAACGATACACAGACTGTATGACCCACAGCGCTGGTTGTAATTTCGCAGGGAAGTCCGTTGGTAGTGCCGCAGCCGGCTTGAACAATCCCAACAATGTTGTTTGTGGATGGTACAGGACTGCAGGATAAATACATCTCATCTATACCAGTCACTTGGTTTCCGGACTAAAAATATAAAAGAATTCACTAAAAACTGCTGCCATGTGGATTTCAAAGCCACCAAATCGGACAAAACTTACATCTATCGACATCGTAACGTGGATCATTTCGCCCACGGTGTAAATCGCACCGCCATTAACCGCAAAATTTAAAGGGCAAACGCCGGGACATGCAGGGACCTTGCAAAGAGAAATGCTAGGTGTGATTATTTGGCGCCCTGTCACGACGGTCGGTGTGCTAACCCTGGAAAAAGGTAAGAAATTTTAGGCTAAACTTTTAAGGATTTCTTTCACGACTTCATAAAACTTGAAAAAACACTGCTTACACTGGGCGAAGCGAAGTTACTACAGTATATTGTCTTTCGTAGCTGCACTGAAATTCAGCGACAGGAATCGGCATATCGAACATTGAGTTTGACAGACGACGGTTAAACCACATTTGGTTAGTTACGACTACATTTCCGCCGACTGATGTAACTTCGGTACCACAGGCAGTAAACGGCATTGGAATCTGTATCTCGTAAAATTCATTAACGGCGGTCGAAACTAGAAACAAAATAAACACATTGATCAGTTTGCATGATGCATCGCTGGTTCGATTCTGTTAAAACAAGTCACCTTCGCAGCCCTGCGTGCCACCCAGGTTTCTGACGATGTTGATGAAACTGTTCCGTAACCCGAGATCATATTCGCGTACAAAGCTTTCAGATACAGAGAACACAATTCGATCACTTTCACAGCGAAGTGAAGGCATAGCTGAAAAAGATGATTTACATATGTAATTATCAAACATTTACACCATCTTTATCTGAAGCAACGACAATTATACTCACGAATAGTGCAGTTTTTGCCAAGATACCCTGAAGAACTTCTGCAGTAATAACCACCGGCGTGCTGGCACGATTCGCGACACTGACAATCTCTCTGACACGGATTTGGAGAGCATACTCCGAATATCCTTTCTGGCAAGACTGCTGCAAAAAACGTGAATTCTATACTCTGCCTAATAATGGCGAAGTCTTGAAAAAAAAAACGCATTGTACGTACCACCACATTTCTCGCAGTGTTCACCCCTGCAGTTACCGGAGCAAAGACATTTATAAGAACTGGCGTAGTTTAGACACAGACCTCCGTTCATACATGGGTTCCTGTTTGCAGAACAATACGATGGCAGCGAGAACGCGTTGGCGTTGGCGCTATAACCTGTAAATACCAGATTTTAGTACTCCACATCGCCTTTTGAAAACAGAAAGAAAAACTCACCATTTCCCACGCAGATCGAAGCAACCAACAGAATGCTAAAACATGAAAGATAAGATAAAATACCAAGACAAGTTCGGGTCGAGCCGTGACTATAATACTTACAGAAAACAGAGTGAACGACCCATCTTTAACTCAAAAACGATAATAACTTAACAAAAAAAACTAACAAAATAAATCAACAATATCGATGACCAGTTAACGTAACGAGGCAGAATAACACCCAACACGTGCAAACGCCCTGTTTTATACTACATGGTTGCTCGTGAGTGCAATCATAGCTTATAGGGTAATAATAATTATTACTACAATGTTAGGTGCTATTCGCACCGTTTAGGGTGCACGCGTGAGTTTTCCTCGCAACACTGACAGAATTTTTCAAACGATCAAAACATATTTACAAGCAGCTCGATCACTTTTATCACCACCAACTAAAAATTAAACTTTTGCGTGCTACTGACTACTGTTTTGTAGTTGAAAGCGCACCAGTATAGCAAAAATGATGATCCTTGTGTGAAGACGTTATGTATTGAATGTCACTCATCGGTGCAAATGTACTATAGCCTTTACTGGCCAGTGCTTACGCATCGTTCGCGTTAAATACGGATAAGTTGTCTCTTCATAACAGATCGACGAAAGGCTTGTATGGCTGCCATCTCTTATCAGTATGTGTGTGATGTATAAACAATAGTTGGACCTCCTGAAGTATGCGCACCAAGAGGGCGCAAAACCTAAACTCAGGTTGTGTACCAGGTTAGGGTTCAGGTCGTGCAACGTCTTGGTGCGCATACTTCAGGAGTACCCAATAGTTATATGTAGAGATTGATATATGTTACCAATCGCCATATGAATAGCCTTCTATGTGATATTAGGCTGTCACGTCATGTCGAAGAAGCTCTGACACAAATATTGCCATGTTCGTAGTCGTAGTCAATAACATCTACCGGACCATGAAAAATAATATATATCCACCTGCAGTAAATATATATTTATCATTGAAGCACGTGTTACGATTATATCTGATTCCAGTCCTTATTTTTTGACTGTTATAGGTCGACGTAAACGTACATTATATCAATATACGTCATATCAGATAAGTACAGCAAAGCTGCACAAGTAATCATAAAACAAGTGGTATCAAAACAGACATTTCATATGATTCATTTCATTCACATTTTCATAGGAAATGTAAAATTAAAACACTCATTAATCCGGTCGAGTCCAGTCAGCACAAATTTTACTCAGAAATTTTACGAGATTGGAGATTTTTTGAATAAAAGCAAATTGAACAAATACTTTAGTTTTGTGAGAAACTCCACTGCTTTTTTCAAGAACCGGTAAAATAAATACGAATCTCATAGGCTATAAAAGAATGTGTTGAAATAAATACAAGATATATCCTTGTGACGACAACAACACTTGTCAACTACTGAAAATTTCAAAGCAATTGATCCAGTATAGTGAACTGCGCTACTTCATAGCAACAACAACATATTAATAATATCGAAACGATCCATAGGTCCATTTCGTCTCCAATAATTTAACATGATTCATGCATTATCTTTGGCGTGGTGGTTGATCTATTTGACAAAACTGATAAGGAAAAATCAAATGAATACAATAATTTGATTGTTTATTCGTAAACGAATATCAGTATCGAATAGCCCAACCATAGCGTGGTACATGTATGGCTCATGCTCGATAAATAAAATTTGGTATGGTGGCAAACATAGAATTGAAATGAAGGTTTACTGTCAATGATGACTGAAATGCCAGTACTCCATCTCGATATGCAAAGTATCTGTCTCTAAGCGAGTTGATATATTTTAAGCAAGTGACCGATGCCAATCGTTTATGTTAAGGCATTGACAGATTTACGAAAAGTCGTATAACTTCATTATTTGAACGCAGCAGACGCTCTCTAAATTGAGTGCAACGGGTTTAAATAAACAATTCATAAAAATAAACATGCGACGTACTATTCACCAGCTAAACATAATTATTTATCCCGGAATACGTCAGACAGACCATCGCGTTTAAACAAAGCTAAAAATATTTTCTTAATTGCTTTAATTAAAATTCTCCGCAAGCCAACTCACAAAAAACTCCCCGCTGTGAAAATGTCATTGTAAAGTCGTAACTATCATTTTCCGTCCAACTATGCATTGTTGAAATAACTCATAATGTCATGAACGTTTCAACCTCATCTAAGACAACAACACTCACTTTTAAATGAAGTTGATAGAAACATTCCGCTCCATCAGCTTTGGAGAACAAATCATTGGTATAAAACATTGTAATACAACGGAAGCATTTGTTCCACGTGTAATATGTGGTATTTTCTCGGAATAAGATTGCACATCTTGCCAAATTTTAAACATTTTGTCCAACAATCTGGCTGGACCTTTCGGTTATCTTTGCTCATAGGATCGAAACACTGTATTATTTGGAACTATAGGCCTAATTTTTTTAATTTTCCATGGGTGCTATATAATTAAATTGTCTGTAAAACCTGCCACTGATACGCAGTAATCATGTTTCATATGTGGTTTGATAACAATTCCACTGCAATTCGTTGCATTTGTTCTAGGATTTCATGAGTTTCACATTTGTCTGCGATGCTTTATCAATGTTTATCAAACAGTTTAAAAAATGGACTAAATAGCAGCACATATAGTTGGGTGTGATTATTATTAGCCATATTACCATATTGAAATAGACTAGTTGGCTTTCAATTTGCCAAACCAGAGATACGGTCCTACCCTTGTGGCCATCGTCACAAATTTTACTCATTGTTTCGTTTTAATTTTGTCATTGAGTCGTCATAATTATATACATGACGTTAGCTATCAACAGATTCAATATTTCAAAAGAATTTGTGTGAAAAAATGTATATTTAACATCCACACATTCAGAATGACGCATTTACTGTGACACGCAAGTGCTTGACATGCACCGCAGACAAGTCACATTTTCTGATATAAATAAGACATTGCGACGAATTTTTACGCCATTCATAACATTGACGCATACCTGTTCAGTAAATAAAAAGAACAAAGTTCAGATGGTACCATACATGGTAAAACAGACAATGGCAATTAGTTGTCAATATTTTTAATATTAATCATAGAAACTTGTATTTTTTGTGAAAATGCGACTAAAACTAAACCGTGAATTCATATGAATGTACCTGTCTTAGCCAATGTCCAGTTTCGATGAGTCAAAATAAAGTAGACAGGCGGCCATACTGGTCTACAGGACCTGGGAGCAAGACAATGTATGTCATCAATCATGCAATTGTTGACCCTGACTAAAAATAGGAAAACTAACAAACGTTGAATATTCTACTTGATTTTTTTTATTGAATAACATACTTGTACCACATATGGGCTAGTTGTTAATGTTTACTTTGCGGGATATATTGTTTCGGATTTACAAAAACATTTAATGTATTAGCTACTGTGAGGATATTTTTGATCCAAGTAAAAAATCATTGATATTGATTGTTTCCATGTCGAAGTCTGGCAGAAATACGAAAATAGTAAACATTTTGAGGAATATGCTACTCCTTTATTTACAATAATTGTGCTCAGATTTTTATGTATATGTTCCAACTCAAATCCGTCTTACACTATATAAGCATACATTATCATTAATAGCACACTTCACAAGCAAAACTGAAATAATGAGTTCTTTTCATAATTCTACGTCGTAAGGTAGAAATAAGACGACAGCTAATTATGTAGTCGTGATTTGTATAAAGCAATTATTGATATTTTGAATGAAACAGCGATATTTGGAGAATCAGATCGCAAATGTGTCACCTAGTTTCTATATAACAATGAAACTTTATTAAAATTGGAGATGATGTTCGATTTAGAATTTTCATTGGTCGTATAACATTAATTTTCAAGGCGTGGTAGCTCACTGATAAATGAGCAATGGAGATGTAATATTTTTAAGTATTTGATATTAATTTACTTCAGTCGACCTACATTTTGATAAGAAAAGTTCGTTTGTAGTATAGTGAGCCTACTTTAGGGCTCATTTTAAAATGTTATATTATTAGATGATTGATTTTCACAATTTTGAAGGGGAAATTTTATCGACATCCGAAATTGCATCAGCTTCGTAGTTATTTAGTAAGTAGCATTTGAAATTACCTGAGGAGAAAATTCAGAATTCTATTTCAAAATCGCCTGCGGTCGAATTCTTAATCTTCGATATAAGGAGATACGACTATTTCCAAGTTATTAATAAATATTCATTGTTAGTTCTCGTTTTGCGTGAGTCAGTTGATCATTACATATTTACCTGATAAACTGCATCTAGGTTCTGTTTTTTGAAGCTTTGTTGACGTAACTTCACTTTTGAGAAAGTATTTCGAATAACGTGTCTACTTGTGTCAATCAAGTGCGGTATCTATATACCAGGCTCGATTGACAATAAATGCGACATCTAGATGACTGAGAAACCCAAAGCGAAAAAATTGAAATCAGAACGAAAAACTGCCCGTTCCATTAACGAGAATGGGCACGAAATCCCCGCTACGCAATATATAAACTGGACTCTCGTAAAAACGCTCATTATTCAGACGACTGTCATTCAAAGGAACATTTGGAGTTGGAGAAATCACTCACAAAAAGAGATTAGAAAATCTCGCCGAATTTGTAAGAATTTCTTGAGCGTCGATTTGAAAACGTATTTATTTGAGATGAATTATTTGTATGTGATAATATTTCTCACGTGTTTTGCGATATTTGGAAATGCAGCGCTGTCAAAATCTCGGACTTCAGATACGGTAAGTCAAACGTTTTTAAATGTTATTGTAAATTCAATGAGAGAAAAAAATATTAAAAAGAAACAATATATAAGGTCGACAAAACGTTTTTGTTTGATGTTTAATTTTTACATTTATCACAGATTATTTTCAAACAAAGAGCATTAATATCACCGAATGAAAAAAACAAACTATTATTGAGCAAAATTTAGAATTATTCGGCGACTTTGAATTGTGCTTCATTATTTAAAACTTTGAGGGGAGTATTTCATATAGAGCAGGGGTCGGCAATCTTTTGTCGCTCGCGGGTCAAAACTAAGGGTAGATATTTTTAGAAAGTTTAAAACCGAACGGATGATACTTTTTATAATAAAAATTAAGCAGTGATACATTGCATTGCATCTCAAAAAATTTCATTCAAATATTTTCGGCACCATTGAACTATTTGCACTTAGCATAAACTTTTCTGCGTTTTGTTGCCATTTGTCTAATTATAATTAAATTATCTGCTCATTAAACGAGTAATTGTGAATTCTATACTTGTTATATTATAATAAAATTTAGTCTACACGTGTCTCGCAATAAATTCTGTTACGTAAAGAATATAATCGTCAAAACAGCTGCTTTGTTACTATATTTTAGTGAAGCGTCGTGGGCCGTAGGTTGCCGACCCCTGATATAGTGGCACAGACAAATTTAGGATTATGCAGAGCTCAAACTGATAGGTTGAAAGCCGTGCTAGATATTCGTAAAAGAAATTCAAACTATTCGGGAGAAAATGGAAAGTTTTTGACGTCATAATCACTGACGTCATTTCCTGTTATGAATAAATTTTAATAAGAGTTCTAATTGAAATATTAGTTTTGATTTTATTTTCTAATAATATTTTGAACCAAAATACTTATCCAATTAAAAATAATAATTTTTGGTTCGGTAAAACCATTTATTCACAAACTATTTCCTCCTTACTTTTCTAAATTTAACGCAATACCTCTTTTAAATAGCAAAAAAGAAAAGTTTGGGAAGATTTGGCCCATTAAGCAGTTCATCTTGTTTTGTTTTATCCCATCAACTCCCACTTTTTTTCTACCAAGCTCTTCACATTATATTCAAAAAATTTAACATTATCTGTTGCCCAAACTTATTGTTTCATAGCTTGAAACCGGTTTTGAAATAGTATTCACTATAGCGGAAGGTAACCACCAAACACGCAGAAATAATGACCGTGAGATTCATAGATTCAGAAAAACTTGGATCAAGATCGAATACCCACATCCGTGTAAACAAATTTCACATAAAACTAAAGCATGTATGAGAAGTCTATAACGTTCTTCCGATCATTAAGTAGTGCAATTCACAAACCCACTTCCATTTAGTTAATTTCATTTTGTTTATTTACAGGAGCTTGAAACAGAGTTAGGTGCGGAGGTAAGCTTTACTCTTTTTCATTCTCCTTCTAGTTTAAATCATTCTCGTAAAGTTGGATGCAGTTTGATAAAACACCTGTGTAAAATTGCTATTGATTAGCCAAAAACAAAGCTGAACGTTTAGGGAGATTTCACAATAAGTCGACGATCAACATCGTATATGTTTTGCAAAGACCTAGAATTGGTTCCAAATGAGATTTTATAAAACATGAACGCATATTTTGGTAAAATTGCTATCTATAGCTAATTCTGCTTTGCTATTAGTATGCATCAAAACGTAACATTGGCCAAAAAGATGCTTAAGTAAGTTCCAATCGAACGCATCTCCACCAGTTAACAATCATTTCCTAATTATACAGGATATTGTTTCCATTGCCAAATTCTTCGAAGAATACAATCAACTTCCTAACATGGAATACAACGCCGTCAAACTAGGTCATTCCTCGGATTCTGGTTCTGTCACGAACGCGAAACCGATTTATAATGAACCTGCGTTTATAGAAAGTGTGATCGAACTACAGACCGCTAGCGGACTAAAACCCACTGGTAAGTCATCTTTTTGTACAAACAAACGGACAATGTTCTAATATATGGACACGAAATTCGAATGAATAATGTGTAATATGTAACCTGGTCATTCAAATGCTTCAAAACAAAATTACAAATCAAGTTCCAAAGCCGTAGTACAGTCCTAACTTAACGCACGTGTTTGAAAAATGGCGGGCTTGTCTTACATAAAGCCACGAGGTGACGCAATGTGAGGAAAGAAGAAAATTTTGGAATAAAATATCGAACCGTGTAGGAATTGTAGAAAATTAAAAAAAAAAATTTAAAATAACAGCCTTCTGGCGAGTTCTTACATTTCTAAGTTGTGAATATTTGAAATTCATTGGTTCATCCTTTGTGGGACGGGGAAATTCATTCACTACAACAACCCCATACTTTTAACAAGCACTGCAACAACAAATCGCAAACAACCCATAAGTATATTTTACGTCTAATAACCTCAAATATTAACGTTGCTATCAATATTAAAGTCGAAAACTATTTTACACGCGTTATTCTTTCATACAGGTATATTATCAAAAGGAGTTTTAGAAGAGACAAAACTTCCACGATGTGGTATAAGCGAACCACCACTTGATAGTGACGAAGTCGGTGCCTACACAGTAAAGGCAACTTGGGAATCAAAATATCTTCCACAATCTGAAATTTATCCACTCACATTTTCGTAAGTCATTTTGAATTAATATAATACTTCTAACTTTTTCTTGTTTTAGCAATGGCTCTTTACCGCTTCGAATACGAGACTTCGATTTGATATTGCAAAAATTCTATTTAGATATTTCAGATTCTATTTATATATATATCCGTTCTTTTGCAAAAAGCTATTTTAATTACTAAATCTTTTTTCACAACAATCATAAACTACCGATCACTCTCAAAATTTACTGGCATTTTCGATTTTTTCAGAATAATAGGAAAGCAGAAAATCCCAGACTCTATAACACTAAAGGAAGTTGAGGAAGGCATATTGTCAGCGATGTGCTTGTGGGAGATGAATTCAAACATTCGATTTAAGAATCTTGGGATTGGAAACATGCTCGCAGATATAACAGTCAGTTTTGAGCAAGGTATGAAAATGCATAGTTTGGTAACAATCTCATTTTATACATGCTAAAAATATCACAGTAGATGTAGGCTACCATGTAAAGAGTTGGGCCGTTTTAAGTGGCACGACCAGTTCTTAGTTCAGGATCCATCTATGCTTGTGTTATCAGGTGACCACGGTGATTGGTATTCATTTGATGGAAAAGGCGGAACATTGGCACATGCTTTTTATCCAGAAAATGGTAGATTGCATCTCGATAAAACCGAGAATTGGTATCTAGCAAGAAAGGGATCCGGTAAGTGAAATGCATACAATTTCTTTAATCTGTAATTTCATTCAAATATTTACGTATTGTTGTGTGGCATACACATGTTTTATTTATAAATAAAACAATTATGGACTTTTCAAATTCCTTGTTTTAGTTGACCATTATAAAAAAGACCTGTTTACCGTTGCGGCACATGAACTGGGACACAATATTGGTTTGATGCATTCTAGGACGAGAGGGTGAGCATGGTTTTACAATGCAGTGCGTTTTATTTCATTTCATCATATTCAACAATCATTTTTGAGACATTTACCAATCATTTGTGAATTTGATCATATAAAAATCGACACACGTTCTGCATGACCAAATGTTTAAAATGTTTTTTTTTTTTTGTGATGCAGAGCTTTGATGGCACCAGTTTACAAGTATGCTGGGACGGTCGAAGAATATAAACTGCCCCAAGACGACATAAATGGCATCGAAAGCATGTATGGAGAACGCATTGGTAAGTTGCAAACTTTTACCACTCGCTGAACATTTATGTTACTGAAAAAGTCAATATTTTATTGAAAAAGTTTTACGGAACAAAGTTGTTACATTAACTTGTGAATATTAGCGTTTTTATTATGTAACATTATCCTCTAGAATCCAATCCCGCTGAAGAGAGTAATACAGCTTGCAATGACTTGAGAACCAATTACGGAATAGCGGCAGATAAATTACGTTCAGATGATACGAACAAAGTTGAAAAGAAACCAAATCGAAGTATGTGAATTGTCCTTTATATGTTTTATTTGTACGTTCATGTATATAAAACAAAGATGATTAAAAAAAATTGTAATTACAGAACCTTGTAAAGATGATGATAGATACACCAAGTACTGTCCAATATGGAGGGATGCAGAATATTGCGAAAATTCAGAACATTCAAGAACTCTTCGAAGAAAATGCAAGAAAACATGCGGATTTTGCCCCGGTACATGTAAAAACTATGTTGTGTTATTCATTTATCAAGCTGTAACTTCTCCAGAAGCGGTATCTTTTGATAAGGTATTACATTCAATAACCAATGTGTGCCTCCACCTGGTGTAATAAATACGATAATCTGTTCGCCGGGCAGACTCCAAGCTTCAAGAAAAAATAATACCTCCGTATACGCTAGTAGACCCGGTGAGCAAAATATAAAAAACATGCTTGATAATATTGTAATATTATATATACTTTGTTATTTTAGCTTCACCGATAAAGAGCAAACCCGAAAATGGGGACAAACCCGGATTGCTGTCCTCTTCTATATGTGGAATCGATACATTTGATTCAGTCACTGTTCTACTTGATGCAAGAAATCATTTGACCATGATGTACTTCAAAGTAAATTTTCTTTTCCTTATAACAAGTTGATCTATATAAACGTTCAATATCCATTCATAAATACTGGAAACTCTTTTGTATTAGGATGACTACTATTTCGAAAGTACACTACAAATTGAAACGGAAACGAATAGTACCGATAGTCTACTAAACAGCAGCAAAACTTTAGAAGACAAGTTGTACTGGAAAACCGATCCAAAAACTATTAAAGTTGGAAGCTTCAAAATTCAGGATCCCACTATGTTTTCTAAGTCAGAGAAAATCAGTGGCGTAATGCTGGCTAGGACTTGGTATCTTGTGTTTCAGAAAGGTATGAATTGTATTACGCAGAGTACTTCTGAGGCATGCGCAACAAGATGTCGCACAACCTGCACAATGACCTGGTACAACCTGAGTTCAGGTTGTGTGCCATCTTGGTGCGCATACTTCAGGAAGTCCTTACGCAGTCATGCATTTTTTATTTAAATTTCAAAATGAATGTTCGATATTGGGTATCCTATTTCAAAACTTATTGTTTTCCCTTTTCCCCACAGACAATGGAATGGTCCAGCAATACAGTCGTGGTACACCAACTATTGCCCATTTGGGTAATTTCACAATCCAGTCAATGTTCCATGGATATCCGCATAGCAGAATTGACGCAGGATATGTAGAATTCAATGTAACATCAAACGAAAACTCTATCTATTCGTTGTTTTATGAAGACAAAATATGGCAATATAAGGTAAAAATAAGATCTTATATTAATAATGTTTCTGAAACTTTTCTATGCAAAGTTATTATTAGAAATAATCACAATTATTTTCATAAACGGAAAATTATGTCATCGAAAATTACTTTCCTGGTGATAGCAAAAAGCTTTTGATTTCATTGCATATTTTTAACAGAAGAAATTATTTATATTTATTTTATATTGGCTAATTTTAGAAAAAGAAGGAAGTCAGACAATCTGAAAGACTCGACAAAGAGAAACTTGTGTTTGAGCCAATTGATTCGATGCAAGGAGTTCCCATAGAACAATGGCATGGTATTCCCGCCTGTGACATAGATTCTGTGTTTGATTACAAAGGTAAAAATTTTCAGTTGTATTTTTTGTATTAAATTTTCATATCAAACTTTTCTGTGAAGCGCTTCAGTAGACGAATGAAAGCATTTATTGAAAGCATGGGATTTGATTGTTGGTAGTGCGCGAAACTACCATCCTCAAAGCAGTTTTCAAATATTCAAGTCTACTTCAAGGAAGGCCTCTTAGGCCTTATTTCTTTGTTATATATATACCCTTTATCAGTAAAAATTGCCATGTTGTAAAATGGCAACAATTACTTAATTATTCCTACGCAACACATTCTGTTGTCGCTTTTGCTTTCTTTCTCTACAACTTACTCTTTTTACAGGTGTGCCTTACTTCGTCAAAGACAATACGTTCTGGCCAGCAGTTGACACAGAACCTATGATTCCAAGGGATATCACCTACAAGTAAGCTTATACAATAGAATCTAAGGTATTTTATAGGTGCCAATATGACCAAAAATTGAAGAGTTGAAATGCGTAGAATTGCAAATGATAATGGAATGATGAAGATTTAAATGTGGGATCCTCTTGCTGCGATATTTTATCCATACATACATAATCTTAAACGATTTAATATTCCGATGTAAAACAAAGTAACTTGCCTGACATATTTACTCAAAAGCAGTAAAGTAGTAGTTATCCATACATACATAATCTTAAACGATTTAATATTCCGATGTAAAACAAAGTAACTTGCCTGACATATTTACTCAAAAGCGGTAAAGTAGTTACACAATGTATACAATAATCGGTACTCCCGTAGTATGTGTACCAGATTAGGGTTAGGCCATAATTTGATTTGGATTTTCCTTATTTTAGTTCTATTACCATCAATTTGGGGACTGTCTGTGTTAGCCAGGTGAATATTCATTCCCCTGTCAATAGGTTTCAGTTCCTTTACACAACTTGATGTAAAATAGGCGAACAAAATTAGTTTTCCTATATTGGTGCACATACTTCTGGAGCGCCTAATATTCGACCAGCTCAGCTTCATAGTAGCCAACTAACGATTTATATTTATGATGCACTTTAACATAAAAATCTCTCTCTTTTAGCTTTCTTCGTTGTTGGCAAGAAAAACCATCTGTCGATCTCCTACCTCCATCGTGTGACGCATCGTTCGGTTCACAAACCGGTGGCGAAAATGGATCAGCGCAAATTCAAATTTCACTGTTTGCATTGTTGCTGTGCCTGATGACAACACTATGGTGATAAAATGTGATGCAATGCTTAAGAAAGTTAAACGTTGTGTAGGAATTTTTACGTACTATATGATGTCATTTTTGAGAAACTACCAAGTTTTATACATACAGTGATGAATCAAACCTATAATACCTGTATATTCTATTAACTGTGCGTATTAATCCTGAAATTTAACAGAACCTCGCATCTTCAAACATTTTCTTCAAATTAATTTTGAGAAATAATTTTTAATTTATTTCATCCATAGGTTATATCCACCATCCATATCCACCCAGGTTTATTGAACATTTTATAGGTACTTATGATTGCATTAAATGTTGTATCATGAATTTTTCATATGTTTTTTTGTGTCATCGAAATTATATGGTTGAAGAGTATTCTGTTACTAAAACCATTTTTTTGTAAATGCATTTACTGTTTTTAACTTACACATCGTATTCTGTTCGTGGTTTTCTGTATAGCCTTGAAATATATAACTTTCTCTACATTTCTGTTTCATGAAATATTTCATTCAAGATGCTTTTAAAGGCTAGAAGAAGTGTATAGGAAATTCTTACAGCTACAAGTATAATCAGACTTGTTCAAATCGAATGAGAAACTTACCTCGAAAAATTGTCATCGAAATTATGTAGAACATGGGTGTGCAATCTGCGGCCCGTGGGCCAAATGCGGCGCACAAGGAAAAGTTATGCGGCCCTCGAGAAGCGCATTTTGAATAGTGTGCGGCCAGCGGCCCTTTGAGTTGCAAAGTATCTGAGCTTGTGCGAAGCGAACAACGTATGTCACAAGGTCAATGACCGAAATTTTTGTGTCTGCAACTACTAGAAACCCTATGTTGAGTAAAGGTGAGGCCTGCGATTTCATCTAGTTATTTGTATCTGGCCCTCGAGTATTAAAGGTAGTACACCCTTGATTTAGAGTGTTTTAATTTGCAATATAATTTTCAGTTCTTTGTGTAAGTTGATTCTATTGAGAGAAGTTGTCTCAAATTTAGGTTATCGTTTATGAAACAGCCTACACCTGTCAAACGTTCGGATAGTCGAACTTAATATATCTCTCAATATGTGTACGGATTTGAACTAACAACACGAAACAAACTCGCCACTGTGAATAATTTGAGATTTTAAAACGTATATGCCATCTTGCACGCGACGGATAATAAATTCTTTTAACGATTAAATTCTGAGAAGAAACCAAATTGCGAACGATGCGTGCAATTTTACAAGTACACGAAAAAAACATGACATAGACATTCCGCGCTCTTTAATCTTTTCATGCTTGTTCAGATACAGTAATGTTTGTACACTGTAAGTTTAATAACGGTATTTTGTTATTCGATCTTATGAAATGACCTATGAAGTCGCAGGTTCGTTAAATGATATAGGATTGTTTGGTGGGTAAATAAAAGATCCGATTTGAATGATTTCCGCTAAATTCAATTTCACATCGGTATCGAAATATCGTTAAAATTTCGAACAAAAATCAAATATTTTGTATGAAATTGTAAAAGTTGAATAGTATATCGTCACGCTAATAACCGAATTGCGTAAGTCATTTTTGGCGATTTTGAGTTTTTTATAAAATAGGTATTTATGTAATGCTGCGCACCTGTCTGTTAACTCAGATTTTAATTTGGGAATTCCGAAACCCATAAAAGTGGAGATTTAGTATGATATGCACATTTGTGCAATTCTTTTGTCATAATGAATTATCCCTGTGACCGCAGTACTATTGTGACGTCACAAAGGCAAAATAACTCGGCGACGTATTTTCGAGTTTTTGCATCTCGGATTCTAGCTTAGCGCGTATTAATTTGAATTTTCACTACAGTATAGGAAGACGTACACTTGTGATATTCACTGTCCGAGTCAAATTTACCTTGGTTGGCTTTTATATTGGGTGCATTGCTGTTTTATTCTTTATATTTAATCTTGGTCCTATTTCGGTGGGTGTGCAGAACGTGTTATATTGAGGAAATATATATTTTTAAACATAAAAAATGATGTAATTGAAACTGATTAGCTCTTTTGGGGATTAGACATTGTAGATACTGAGAATTACATTCGTTTTTGGAATGTTTAATTTTCAGAACTGGTGCATATAGTGAAGTTGCAAAATTGCGTATGTCACCAAGTCATAGACACATTTCTGCCTAAGTCACAGTGCGCCATTATGACGTCACCTAATTGCGTCACACAAATTAACTTAAATCCGGCTACGATTAAAAAATTGAACCATGGCAAATTATTGACTCTCAATTGCATAACAAAATCATTAGGAAGTTTTTTATGTTTTTCTCAAAACTGCTAAAAATGACTTACGCAATTCGGTTATTAGCGTGACGATATTCACCTTAGAATAAAAAACGGAGCAAGTAATGTATCATGTTAGCACTTGACACGCATACGATAGACAAGAAAGGATTATGACTCTCTCCTTATAATTACGATTATAAAAAATCATATATGATATAGTAACACAGATTACATCATTCAAAATTGCCAAGAATGTTTAAGACGAATATGTTTGTGCTTACCATGTTATCGCCATAACAATTTGATGGTTTGCGACGGTAGGAAATAGCTTATCGTCAATACATCACCCCGAGGCTCATTATAGTCGTGACCGTCGCACCTTTCAATTGAATGTTTAGTTCATTGCTGCAGTTCTTTTAGAAATTTAGTAAATTTGCACGTGTACTACATAAAGACACACATAAATCAGAATTTCTATTTTTCCTTTGGTATATTTCATTTTAAATATCAAAATTTTTAATAAAACCAAATACGATACAGAACATATAGTGGAGAACAGATTGTTATAGTTAAATTAGATACTTTTACCATCTGAAACTGGTTATCCACGTATCACATTTGATCACGAATAATTCTCAAAAAATACATTAGATTTATATAAATACTATATATGGTCACACATTATTAACTTGCAATATGCAAAATATAACTCTACAGTACAACGACACTATCATGGAATGATAAGATAAAAATGTAACATAAAAATGACAATTTATAATAATAATAGCGATAAAATATAAATAAAATATATAAACGGTGAAAACATAGAAATTGGTTTATATGAGTACCGAATCATTTTTAAAAATAGTAATATCTTGAATGTGTACGATTAAACTCGATGCAAAAAGTATTTTAACTTATTCGTTTAATTGAAATTTTGGCAATTTGGCAATGGAAACTAAATTCGCAACCACAAAACTGGTCAGAACCGGTTCTTTCTAGATTACTGAACTTAGAAAATAAAAGCTTCAAATTTTTTGTATTTGTTCTTAACAAAGGTAATATACGCTTGAGGATATAGCGGTTTTGAAAACACGAAAATACACTGTATGGTTTTGCTCCTAAATGAGACAATTTATAATAACTTTGTTGCTTCATCATTGTCTATTCTTTCTTTGAGGAATAATCTTCTTTCTTGATGGCTGATCATGTGGCCAATGACCGGCATACATAACTTTCATTTTGCACTACTAAGATACTATTTTGAGTGTGAAGAAATTCAGTACTGTGACCATGAAAAGCAAGGTTACTGATACAAAACGGGTACTGCTGGCACCGTTGTCACCCCCATCCGCTTCCAAGTTATCAACCCCACATTTTGTTGGAATGAAGACATTCGTAGGCTCTTCTTGCCAACAACGGAAGAAGCTAAAATACAAAAAAAAAATAACATTAAGTTTGTGTTGTAACAACGTGAATTTAATATAAATCAGGAAAGCGAATAGAATAGTATTTTAAAGTATGTAAATTATTTTTAACAATGGAATCAATTATTAGAAATGTCAATTTTATGGCAGTACAAAAAGTAAGAAAAAAAATAAAAATACTTACTTATATGTTACATCTCTGGCAACGGGTTTTTCCGTATCTATTGCGGGCCAAAATACGTTTCCTTTCAAGAAATATGGAACATCTAAAGATAAGCAGATTTGTTACTCAAGATTTGAAGAATTGTTACTCAAACCTGATTAACCCCTATCACTATTTTTATATAAAAATTACTTCTTCTGTTATAGAAATTACAGTAACAAGAATATTTGAAATATAAAAATATACTGTTATAAAGAACACTCTACCTCTATATTCAAATACTGCATCTAAATCACAAGCCGGAACTCCACCCCATTCTCCGATATCGATGTTTGTTTTATTTTCCAGCGGCCACATCAAAATATCTCCCGTTTTGGGGTTTTTGATTTCCTTAAGAAAAAAAAGACAATAAAAAATTATTATTTCCATACTGACAACTATATGAAATAATACAACACTCATTCAATATTATAAATCAAAAATATTTTTATTTTGCGTCAGTGCACGTTTAGTTTTATGCAAATTAGCAAATTTCCATTAACTGGATTTTTCGTTGCGCCATAAATTTCTATCTTCGAGGCAAATTTTATGGAAAACATATAAATACTTTCGTAATCAAAATCAAAAATCGTGCGATTGATAGTTTTGTCGCCTGTACAAAAAGGTTGATGATTTTCTTTATTTGATCCTTCAGTGAATTGTGCCCATTTAAGCAAATTATACAGGTATATTATTGTATTTGAGTTTTTACCTCGTACTGCCACATGTTACTCCCTCGAAACAGAGTGTGAATTGCCATTTTTCCATCTTCTCCGAGTTTTACATGTCCAGCATCTACCTTTGTGTGAGGGTATTGCGGATATAACTCATGTATTGAATGTGTTTTGTTGAAAATTAAGGTTCCCATTTCTTTCCGATAAACGTGGACGTTTTCGTCTATGTTAAAAGTAGAAAAAATGTGAAAATGCATCGTTTGAGGAATACAGTATGGTAAGTATTTGGTGTCATTGTTGCATTCATCCTCAAACATTGAATTTGAATATCCAATTAAATTTAGAGCGATTGGTCATTCTTCGTTCGCGAATTCCATAGCAAAAACGAATTTTAGGCAAGCGCGATTTGGATTTTGTTTTGTGAACGTCTCATTTTTATGCAGAATCAAACATGCAAAAAAACGAGACCAATAACTAAATCAATGCACAGCAGTCAATTCTAGTGGTCAATTATTTATAAACACTACCCTATTCTCGCCCAGAAATTACACGATTAAATTTACCTTCAAATGCCAAATATGTTTGATCTGAAATCAGTAGAGCATCGACTTTCTTTGTTTTGTGTAAGAAACTTTCATGTTCAATTGTAAATAATCCAGGTGCTATTGTTTTGGGGTCTGTTTCCCATCGGTAGGTACCCTTCAATTCGTCGGTATTGTTAAGCAAGGTGTGCGTCCAGTATCGTCCCGAAGATAGAGAAATATGACTTCGGAAGTAAAAGTCATCCTAAAGTTGTAAATAAGAATTCGGTATTAATCATCAAATCATTTGAAAAATTTGATTTGTTGTTTTCAATCAAGTCTTTTTACAACTCAACAAATTCAAACGCTTTAAGCTTTAATGGTCTTTGAAGCCAACTTAAAAATTAT